TTAAGTTATCTTATAACGAAGGCGATAATGTTATATAATAAATATGCAACAGTATCATAGTTACATGTACATTCGCGATATATTTAGCGATATTTATTTTTTATCTGTGATAAGAATTTAGAAACTATGATGTGTGGGTATTAGTTGCATTATCAACACGGTGTATGTGCATGTTTGATAAATTTGATTGAATATATACAAATAAATAATAATTTCTCTTATAATATAAGTGATTATAATATATGTGTCATTTCATTAGGTAAGTCAATTTCAATTGCATTTATTTCCTTTATTTTTAAAACTAAATATGTAATTAACTAGCTATGGTTTTTTATTTTAATATGTAAAGTATTATTTGGTTAAGGTCCAATCACAAAACATCCAACGGCCAAAGCTGTTGTAGCACAGAATTGCATTATAATTTTTATGGTATGATGCCATATTTCGGGTGACCATTATTTCAGAAAGTATCTGGACATTATTTTTATAAATAGTGACATAAACCGAGCTTGGAATATTTTTTTTTTGTTATTAATTATCAACACCAATTGGAAATATTTTTTATAGTCCGAGGTAATTTGAGTACGTATACGAGTTATCACCAAAACGGGCACTATGATTGAAACAAAAACTATTTTATTTTTATTTTATTTACCACATGTAACTGAATATCACGCCTCTCCATCTAAAATTATATAAATAAGTAAAATTATGGCATTATAGTCTCTATATATATAAATTGTTTTTCAAATCACAACTAAGTATTATTGTTATTGCCACTAATAAATGGAAAAAGAACTCATGGCCACCCTACACTTATTGCATGTAAGTTTTCTTCTTAGCTAACTGTGTAGTAGTTTGAAAACACATAGTAGACAATAAGGCATAGTGATCATTGGTATTAGCTGTAGACAATGCTCAAGCGATCAGATTACCATTGGCAAGGAAGGCAACACCTAGCTGTATATACCATTCTATTGGTACACACATAAGCACATAAGGTTACTACAGAAAAAAAAACAAACTCCTACATTCAATTTTGAACTTAAATGTCAATAGAATAATGTTTAAAATTGATTGGAGAAATTTGATATTTTGTCGGTATCTAACGTGATGTCGACTGTACATGCACAGATAATACATGTGCATGAAACATCAGACATTTCGTCGCTTAATCGTAATGATAAGTTCGCTTTACATAATGATATATGACATGTATTGATATTTATCATATACAGTAATCTTTAAGAATTCGACCGGCTTTGGTGTGCTATACGGGGTTCGAACAGGTAACCTTTCGCTAAACGAGCGGCGGCTCTACTAATTGAGCTATAAGAAAACCAACGAAACTTTACCTCGAGGCTGGATTATCTAGCTTGAAAAGACAAGTTTTTAGTAGAGATAAAGCCATTTCTTTCATGAAATATTTTATGAATTGAAAAAGAAATCCTAGTATTTTTTGTATTGAAATTAATTAATAATCGTTTAATTTCAGCATATTAAAAAGGTTATAATGATTCAAAATACTGTAATGAATTACTTATCGATAAATAAAATGGGCACATCGATTTTGCATTGAATTAAAAAAATATATGATGACTAGATGATGTAATCAATCGCTTCGGCAATAGTACAAGAACTCGTGACATAAATATGCAAGAGTTCTGTTGTCGTTGACACTAAAGTAGTTAAATGAAAGTACCTGGTGGCGCTAACAAGTATTTTGTAAAAAAAAGTGCTTGGTAATAATCAAATGTTGGCGAGATTCTGATTTAAAAATTATAAAATAAACTAAATCGCACAAAGATGGAATAACCAACTCTAAAAAAAAAGAGTTTTGTAGTGTTTGCAAACTGATTAATTACTAATTTATTATAAGAAAGTTAAGAAAAAAATATTCAGACCTTCATTTATTCAGCAATTGCTAGAAATTTGATTGGCACCTTAGTACTTCGACATACCGTAGCACCGAAGTATGCACCGTAACAAAACTCTTGAAACTTTCGATCTATAATCACAAATTATATGTTGAAGAAAAAAATAAAATTAACCCTCTGTAAACGTAAAACCGTACCTGATTTAATATTATTTTTCGATTTTAAAATCCTATTAATATTATAAATGTGAAAGTTTATTTGTTTGGGTGTTTGTCCGTCAATCACGCCGAAACTACTGAACGGATTTTGATGAAATTTGGTATACAGATAGGGTATTAGGTGACTTAGATAATAGGATACTTTATATCCCACTCAATAGTTCCCTAGGGACCACATGGGTGAAGCTGTTGGCGGAAAGCTAGTTAACTATAAAAAAATCAGTGAGTTAGGTTATGACAATTGCCTTGGGGCGTGCAACAACGATTTAACTCAGGACAATTGTCATCATGAGGGCATTAATAAGATGTTTATGTCATAATAAAAACAGAATCGTACAAAAGGCGTACGTGACTTAGCAGTACATCTATTATCTAAGACGATTAGGGGTGTGTGGGGTCAGCTACTTCTTATATTTCCGTGCGCCTCTACTTTAAATGAACTGTTTACTCTAAATAAACTTTGAGACGGCACATTTAACTAACTACATATACTATATATAGGAAACATTTCATCATTTGCTTGCATCTTTCCGACTCCGAAACCACATGACCAATTTTCAAAATTCTTTCACTAATACGAACTTATATCATAAGCGTATGCCATATGTAATTTACGCAGGTGCAGTCGCGCAAAATAGTATGTTTTTAGTTAATTTTAAAAAGACTAAATCTCAGTCTAATCTACAGTTTATGTAACACAGAACATACAGAATATGAAAAACTTCTGAAATGTGATAAAATCAATCAAAAACTTTTTTATGAAATGTTATTTTAAATTATAGTACAATGTAATGCCGATAAATTTAGATAAATGATAAATTTTAAGTTCATTTCATCAAACGTGTGATCTGAAAGATATATTCCAACAGATTTTTATCAAAATTTATAGTCTTTATATAATATATACTTATAGGTAATAGGTATGTATATTTATAAATTATGATAAAACATGAATACATCAACAACCAATTATCCATATAATGATAACAATAATTATTACTGAAATTAAAATTTAATTGCAAACATGAATTGAAATTGTGACACATGTTGCTGTTTCTTTATTATTCTTACTAGGTATCCCGCTACTTCCCCCGCGTAATTTAAAGCCTATATCAACCGCGAAAGTGAAAGAATTTTCACGATCGGATCAGTATTTTCGAAGATTATGCGATTTGCAATACTCGATCTAAGAAATTCACCAATATTATTTCTTTCGACTGCAAAAAGTACCTATGAATCACGCGGCGCAAAATATCAACATCTACACTCTATCTTTTTGTAACAAAATATGGCCTTATTCCATTTCACAAACAACTTTAAAGAAACTTTAAATTACTTTTCACTATTATAAGGTAAAAATGTACTTCCCAGACACCTAAAAATGGAATAGTTTTAATTGTAATGATATTGTTTATTCTGCAAGGAGCCCAATCCAAAAATACAAAAAAAAACTGTGTTATTCGTTTAGAAATCGAGTATGATTGAAGTCGCAGACGGCAAGAAGATTCGAAGCGAGTGATTCAATAATAGAATTCCAGCCCTGCGATTCTGTAACAATCCAGACCCGAATTCGAATTCACTCATGTGTCCAAATTCTCGTCATTTAGTATAGAAATTTTTTGTATAAAAATACTAAACAAAATTGATTGATTAAACGTGTCATAGATATTTTAATCCTATATCATTTGAAAACTCACTTTACTTATTTCACGAAACATTATTACCAATTCAACTTTGAGCGGATGCCGCTTTTTGAAGTGAATTCGGACACCCGGGTGATTTCGAAATCGGGTTTGAAGTTTTACAGAATCGCAGGGCTGGTCTGCGCAAGATTTACGGCGAGCCGTGTTAGTTGGACTTTACATTCCATCATTAGCCAATTAGGATGCCATTACAGATACTATAGTCAGTTTTCATCTCCATTATGCGTGCACTTGTTATTTTATAAATGATTACACTTTTATCACAAATAGGCCGCGAAAACAGGCCGAACAATAATTCAAGCTATAAAAAAACACTGCATGACATATCTCTATGCAAGACACTTTTATCGTGTATGACCCCCTTTGTAATCACTATTACTTTTTATGCATAGCTAACTAAAGTATAACTATTATTTTGAACACTATTTCTACCTAACCTTTTTAGCTTCCATCTGGAAATGAAAGATAAAATATAATTGAGTCAATGTTTGTCGTCTTGTGTTATTTTATCACTCAATAAACGAAAATAATAGCCAAATAAATTGTAATAAAAAACAATAACAGTATTAAGTATTGCATAGAATATATTTTGATTCTAGGTAATTGTTGTTCGAGACTGCTCCAGGAAGTATACTTGTATTGGTGATATCTTGTTCTTGGCTTTATTTAACATGTGACATTATAATTGAAACAATTATATAATTTAGTAATAAATAAATAAAACTACTTATCTAAACTATGTCTATATTATTATTTAAATATAATTCTCAATTACATAAGTATTTTACTTATTGACTTTTTCTACCATGTTGAAGTACCTACGGAGATAACTCGTATAATCATCATATAATCCAATGTTTGGATATAGAAAAAAAAGACAAAAATTCATTGAATTTTACTATTGAGATGAAATATAAGTATGTTAATATTCATAAATTATTTTAGGTTTTTAGGTAAAAATTGTCATATCACAAGTATAGAATTTGATCTATAAAGGAAATTTACTAATTGTCAATCAAATTTTACAGATTTAAATCGTGTCAGAAGATGATTTCATCTTATAATATAATACAAAAATAAAATGGATCTACGAATCTCGTTTAAAAAATATAGTCTGTGTTAAAAATTAAAATGATTCGATATCGAACATTTCTTTCGCAGACTAAATTGGACACATGACTCGCTAACCACCGGCATTCAAGATGGTGGACACACAGCACTTCTGCCTGAGGTGGAATAACTACCAGAGCAGCATAACAAGCGCCTTCGAGAACCTAAGAGACGACGAGGACTTCGTGGACGTGACCCTCGCATGCGACGGGAAGAGTTTGAAGGCACACAGAGTCGTGCTGTCAGCGTGCAGCCCATACTTCAGAGAATTATTGAAGGTAACACTTATATCATCATCAATCCTTTTTCGTCCCCACTGCAGGGGCTCACGAATTCCTCATGGATGGTTACAGAGGATGGGCCGTGATTCTCCACGCTGGCCCAGTGCGGATAGGAGGTATTAACGACTGCAAATGCAGCCGTGATCAAAGGCTTAACGTGCCTCGAAGGAGACACTTTAAATGTATATACATTATACTATCAGGGGTACAAAGCCTTCTCTGTTTGCCCACGGATATTAGGATACATTCTTATAATTTTGTTTAAATCATATTAGTGAAGATTACCTGTGCATCTGAGGCAGCGTCAGGTCGTACCTCTGTTGCACCATAAAATTACTCAGAGTCGTATTTGTCTGTCGAATTAAGATGAAATACGTTTTCGTTAAAACAGAGTAAGTAACCGCGTACGACGACGTCTTAACGTGCCTTCCGAAAGGTAATCAGTTTTTGGTCACTTACATAATGACCGACTTAAGAGCTTTGAGACCTTAATAATTGTAACACCCTCTAGTATTGAATGCTTATGCCTTACAGTACGGTCACAGTCGATTGTAAGAGCACGGGATTGCGGGTAATTTAAACTTTTGGCAACTCTAGAGCAGATGGCGGTAGTAGTAAAAGTTAATGTTGTTAATTAATTTTTATATAAATTCTTTTTCTATATATGTGTTTTCTACTTATTTAGTTATAAACAATACGATAATAATAATGTAAATTTTACTTGATTTATTTATTTGACTATAGGGATGACGACTCATTTTTATTTATTTGTCCGTCAAGCAGAGTGTTGATAAATATTAAACACGTTTTTTTTTTTTCGTAATTATAAAATGACGACTATACATGGAGTCGAAATTTCGCATGACGTCACGTTATGGTACGTTTTCTACAAAACTGTGCCGTAGCCTCCTCAACTTTTATGCCGGTAATCTAAGCTATTTCTTCTTAAATAGTAAAAAAAAATACGTATCTAATATTTTTCTAATATCTGACTGACGGACTTAATAGAATTCCTATTGCTAAAACTAGTAACGAATAGTAAAGACATCAACGCGCCTGGTAAAGGATACCTAGTTAGGGTGCCAACTATACTTATATTTTAGAAGGGGTAAGATTTTATTATAAGATACTCACTGTATAAAACAAAGTTGCTTCGTGTTGTCTGAACGCTGAAATCGTTTTAACTACTAGATTTTGACGTGGTTTTTATCAATATACAGAGTTATTCAAGAGGAAGACTTATATATATATATAACTAGCCGTGCCCGCCACTTTGTTCGCGTGGAAAGTAACCTAAGTTACTTCTTATTACATCAACTATCTGTCAGTGAAAGTCTCATTAAAATCGGTCTAGTCGTTTCAGAGATTAGCCGGAACAAACAGACATAAAAAATATATAAAAAAAAATGATACATGTACCGTGTATACGTACGTTTGCATATAGTAAAAAGCGTTTGTTTTAACATTGCAAACAGACATTCCAATTTAATTTATTTGTATAGATACAGGAAATCTAGTAATATATAATGATAACTAAGTCAAATTATAATGTTATCAATGCAAATGATTAAAATTATATTATTAATAGTGGAAAACTTCAACAAAACTGATACTGATATTGTGATTAGATTTGGTTTAATGTAGCCATAGAGCCATTTCCGAGTCTCGACACGACCGCGTGTCGAAGATAATTAGGTTTAAACACATGTACATAATGAAATATGTTACTTAAAAAATCATATACATATGAACTTTTTATTGATTAAAAAGTGTCATGTTATCCTTCTCATAAGCGATGTTTAATGCTATTAAGTAAACATTTGCAAAATCATATTATTTTTTAATTATATTTCATTTATAAATCTTATTGAAAAATGCTGTCCCTAGTAATCTGACATGGGATTTATATTATTATTATTAGGTAAACTACGAAATGCCAGATTACCCATAACCGCTGTTTTTGGAATAAGAACATTAAAACACTTCTACTTGAAGGTTATCAGATATTACGGCAATACTCTACCTATAAAAAAAATCGGTACCATTTTCAGCTTTTTTTTGTTACAAAATGTTCCAAAATAATAAGAAAACAAAAAAAAGAACATTAAACTGCACAACCATGTCAGGTGTGGGGTTCGAACCCACGCTCCCTCTCGGGAACCAGAGCTTAAATCTGGCGCCTTAGACCACTCGGCCAACCTGACTTATTTATCAGTAGCGAAATTATGTTATACTCTAAGTTAATAATGTTTATCTTTGTTTCAATATTTAACGATTTTATTTAATATGTATAATAATTACCATGATAGTTATTTTTTGTTTTTTTTTTATATGCCGTTGTTTTTATATACTACAGATTTAATACAATTATCATGAAAATAATTTATTATCACCGCATGTTTTGACATTTCTTAACTATTATAAATATTTTAAAAAATCGATAGAATTGGTCGAAGCTGATGATGATGAGGAATGATGATGTTTCACCATATTTTCCATATGACGAAGCCTTACTACATAAAAAAATAGAAAAAGCAGATATGATAGAGTCGAATTCGTGTAACGTGTAATGAATAAAAATTTTAAAATCAAAGTCGAGATTTTTCTTTAATCGATCGATGAAGAATCAAATTCTTTATTTCTCTAATTCAAAGTGATAAAAACTAATCGAAATTTCCCATTGTAAGAGACTTCCGTCGGCGGACTCTTAAGAATTACTTTATTTACGCTACACGGTCGTATTTAGAGTAAAAGTATACATATGACTATCAAATTCAAGTTAATCATATTAGTAACGTAACAGTAACCCTAAAAACTTTATGAGAAACGTGAAAAACAAAAACAGACATTTATAACACACACATCAACGCAGTCCACATTATTATAGAAGCATTAAAACCATTCAGGCTGCTATCGATAGAAAAAAAAAGAACATTTCACTAATAAAATAAAAAATGTATTGGATCCCGACACCGCTAAGCCATTAAACCTGCATTGGATTTGACTAAAACACTATGAATAACACATTCACCGATCGCAGTTTTCATAAATCACGCTTCCACCGGGCACAACACTATATCGATACGTGTGAATTAGGGTTGTTATTTTTTATCTCTTTGATCAAATCATATACTATGATGTTATGAATAGAAAATATTATATTGTTTTTTATTTGTTCGTCTACACTATATAAATATGGTAATATTATAAAGAGAAAAGATTTGATGGTTTGTTTTTTTACATTGGGTGGGTTCCTAAACTATTGAATTGATTTGAATAATTCTTTCATCAATACAAAGATAATGTATTAGCGAAGAACAAAAGCTATATTTTAATAATTATAAAGTGGCACAACAGTCACGGGATTTGCATAATAGTAAAATAATTTATTTATTTTCTCACAAAGTTGTATAATATAATGTGTCTATAATTTAATAATAAAGAGAGTTTATATTATTATATTCCACCTTTTTAGTTAAAAAGATTTTTTAAGTATTAACTTTTTTCATTTTAGAAGAAGAGTTTAAAATCGGTCCTTTAATTTTTGAGTTAATTAATGACGAAAGAAACTTTCTTCTTTATACGGTAGGTACTGTTGTACCCTGTGACTTCGCCAGTGTAAATTATAGCCTATGTTACCCGCATATGATGTATATTCCCGTTCGTGAAACAATTTTCATGGTCGGAGGAGTATCTTCAATGATTATCCCACAAACACACAGAGACATACACTTAACCTCTTTAAAATTTTAATATAGATTAGATACAAAAGTAGGCAACCCTAACAACAAAATAAAATTTTCTTTTCATATTGATTCAGTCAGAGTTAGGCTATTCACTTTGATGGCGATTGATAGTCGTTTTGTTCAATTTATTGCAATAAAACAATAGGTTTTTTTTTAATATCCGCTTTGGAATAACTGAAATAACAAAGAGTACCGATGCAAATGTATTTTTTTATTCATGTATTTTCATATCAAATGTATTCCTTGAATTCTGGTGGATTTCTCCGAATTCTGGAGTAGAAAGTTTCGCGCCGTTGATTGTGATAATTTTTCAAAGCTATTTGTAACTTTAACAAACAATAATCTGTGATGATTCATTTTACTTAAGAATGGTTTTGGTTTCTAAGAATATTCTTATGAAGGAGATGAATGGCAATATAACAGAAGTCAATAAAACCGGCAGGCGTGTATGTAAAGACGGAAAATAGATAAAACAAAAGAGTTATATAAATATCGTGCCTTGTGGTACTCGATAGTCACTAACTACCCCACAAGGGGTGAAGGGCGTGAAGGCATGAGTAGACAGGAGATGGGACAACTTTATAACTTACTAGTCTATTTAAAATATTAGTATATATGAGATGTTTTTTTCATTCAGTAAAAAAGGTACTTTTAAATATTTTTCCCTAGAAACGAACGAATCTGCACTTCTTACCTCAATTTTGCCGCTCTCGACAATAGTTTGCACTATTTCAATGTATATGCTCAATTCAATGTTCTTTTGCAGTCGACACCATGTAAGCATCCAGTGATCGTCCTCCAAGACGTGGCATTCACTGACCTCCATGCTCTTGTGGAGTTCATATACCACGGCGAGGTGAACGTCCACCAGAGGAGCCTCTCATCCTTCCTGAAGACCGCCGAGGTGCTCCGCGTCTCCGGCCTCACGCAGAACGAGGATGTGCAGGTGGTTAGTCTCGTAATACCCTCCTCAAATCTGAGGGTTTTCCGTGTAACTGAACTCAACTAAAAAAAATTGTTCTACTAGTGAATTTTAAATCACCAAGTAGTGATATTGAAGTCGTATAAAATATTTTTACATATATTATCATCTATATACGTTTCGTTTTGCCAGCTTGGAATGAACTTTGAACAATGTACATAAAACAAAATTTTAGAATCAACTGCATTCTCTTATGCCTTCAAATTATTGTGCTTAAAGCATGTACTTAGACAAATTGGTATGACCAATTTAAAAAAAAAACTTCACATAACAAAATAAACCTAAAGCAGTTTAGTAATATTTTTTCGATTAGTATATGAGTTTGATGAAATATAGCTGGAAATGCTATTTCTTAATACAAAGACACATTTTAAATAGATGAGTCAGGATATTTACATAAGGTATCAACTCTTATAAATAAGTAATACCAATTTTCAACCTCATTGATGTGCATCTAAAACATATATTTTTCAACAGCCTCTGCTGCAAACAGTCCGGCCTTCAAACACCGTTCCGTCGCCGCACACACCCCCACACCCAGCCCACACACCCCACGCTGCGCATACGCCGAGCTACTCCGAGAAGCTCGAAGAAGCACTCTCAATCCCCACCACCATCCCGAACATGATGGGCATGCGCCGCATCCCCCTCCCCCCACGCCGCATCAGCCGCTCCGCAGACAACTCCCCTGATGTCATCAAGCGTCCACGCCACGACAATAACAACACAGAACAGCCCCAAATACACGACTTCTCAACTAAAGGCCATCCTCTCGTCAACAATACCCGCGCTCATGAGTCCGGGAACAACGGGAACGGAATCTCCAACAGCAGCTCGTCACCGTCTCCTCGTCTCATGGATGAGGTGAAGAATGAGCCACTGGACATGATATGTGTGCCGAATGCCGACATAGACCGGAGCACAGACGACACGCCGCCCCACACGCATCTCAGACAACACGTGAGTTGGATGTCAACAATTTAGTTTTACTTTCAGCTCTAACTTCATGAAGCAACGGCAAAAAAACTGGTAGCTGAAATACTTGCGTTCTAAAAATCATACAAAATGATAATAATTCATAAAAAGTTAGATAAAACATAAATAGATAAGATCAAATTATTATAAAATTTACTTTACGTTTTTAATCAAAGGAACTGGAAAAAGCAATCTGAAGATATTTAAATTGAATATACAGCTATCTAGGTATATATATATATATGACGTTTCATTCGAATGAATATAGTCGACTTTTTCATTCATCCAAATATAGTAAAAACAAAAGTGTTTCCAGAAGAATTAGCTAATATGACACCTTACAATGATTGCATTCTAATACCGCATGAATTGTCGTTACGACCTTGCCTGTACCTCGTATAGACTGTCCGTCTAGCCATGTACCGGGAATCACCTGGTATCAAATGACACGCTGTGAACTAAAGACGACACTCCATGACCAAAAGATTAGGAAGAATTCATACATACATAGAAAATAATAAATACGTTATAATACTTCAATTTCTCTGAGAAATATTTGGAAGAATTTTAACCAAGACCTATATTGAATAAAATAGATATGACTAATTCTATTACGTTCTATTTATTTGACAACACAATAGCGATTATTCTTAAAAAAATCTATTACGTCAAGAAAGAAATTCAAACAGACATTTTATCTTATAAAATATTAATGTCGTTATACTAAACAACAAAACCAGCGAAAATGGCCCGCCCACATTTCTTTTCCTACTGAGGTTGATTAAAATAAACTTTACAACTGTATTAATTACAACTCGTATACACCGAAAGAACTACAAATCTTTTGATTAATTTTTCCTTTCAGTCTCTCATTTCAAAGTTAGATTGAAATACAAACTTTGATAGTCGACAAGACTCAAGTTTTTAACGACAACATTTTAATTTTGTATACATAGAAATATGAATTGTCACTTTCATATTTCAGGGAGATGATTAGTAACTTTCTTATTATGCCCGAATAAATACTAATTGTGATAATAATGAAGAAAAGATACGATACCAATTTTATGAAAGTCTTTGGTTAAAATAATGATTATAACCTCATATTTTATATATATTAAAAATATTTTATACATAAAATTATGTATTCAACAGGTAACATGTTCATTAAATATGGAAACCTCTGTAAATAAATATTAAGAGTCATCAAGTTAAACTATTCAACTACTATTTTTTATTATAGTACATAAACACCAATGGACATTTCACAAAACTCGTCATGGCAATATTTTTTTTTTTTTAGAATATTGTAACGCCCGTAAATGCGGTCAAAGAATATGTATAATCCGAGAGCGCGACTTTAATACCTACGTAACAATATTCTCAGGGGGGCGGACCGCCGTCACGTGGCAGCTCGGCCGAGGCTGATGACCGCACGCCACCACCTCAGCTACCCCCTTCACCGTTTGTGCCACCATCTGACACAAAATTCCCGCATTACCCGTTTAACACACTGGCACCATTGTCAGATACATCTTTATCCGGTAAATATACTCACTATACGTATGTACTAATGAGAGTTTTTGACATTTCTAATGAAAAATTAAATCAGTTTCAAGGAGTAATACAAAAAATATCGCAAAAAAAAAAGCATTTTTTTATTATTTTTATTTAAACTGAAATGTATATTAGCGATTGTGTAAATTTCAGTTCAGTTGAAAATATAATTAGGATTGTTATTATATGTCCTAAAGCAATCATTAGTGCAATTAAAAAATATAGACTGGCATAATTCAGTCCGAATGCATATGAACATATAGCGTTTATTGCAGGGCTGGCAAATCCACTTGTTCCTGACAGCATGGCAAGCACGTCTCAAGGTGAGTCTTGGCTTGTTTAGTAACAAGTTTATTTTATGCATACATATATTGAAACAAACGATATTTTTAATGCACTGTCTGTCGTATGCCACCATCACCGCTTCCTCTCTGCTCTGTCATTATTAGGTTTATATCTATCATATAGGTTTTACATAAAAATGATCTATGAGGCAATATAGTGATCTATATAAAACTATATATTATATCTATTATAATTATATATACTCTAAATTAACCTCTGTATATGACTTCATTATGTGCTCTGTGCTCTGTGTTCTGTATTAAATATTAATGTTTAGCTTTTGTGTTTTGGTTCGATGGAGACGACTAGGTTTTACGCATACACTATTGCTTCATTCCCTAATCAGACGTTTGTCGGCTCTGGTTGTTGTATTTATCATTGAACCAAAATACAATGTGGCGTGCATGTTATTGTAATGTAACCATAGTTAACTGTATTCTAATCAGAAAGATATGCTAGCTTGTTTTATAGATGTGACTTGAATTGTGTGCTAGGTAAATCCCGCACTCCCAATCTCCAACTTAGGTTACGTTAATTCTTTTTTTTTATTCGACTTATTTAAATTCTACAACTTTTATTTTCTTCATAATTGTCGTTTCCTTTCTGATTTTAATTTCTTTTGGACCATTCCAGTAATTTATAGTAACATACAAAAAAATAATAATTTTAATGCACTTATTCTGTAATAACGAACCCAATTGGCTGTAAACTGTTGATTAAACAAAACCAAATTGTGTAAGGAAAAACAAAACAGAAGAAATTTCAAAATTCGTTTCCAAGAAACACGACCGCCATTCGGATGCCTGACAAGTTACATTAACTCATGCGAAGCGTAGCGGATCCCATGAATCATTATTGTTTCTAAATAAACTCTCGAATTACCATTAATCGCATTGTCTTGGGAAAAAAATAGCATGTAAAATAATAACCGGGAACGTTCAAGATTGGACAATGGAAATTTAGTAATGGTATCGGGGTATCAGTTTATTTAAAAAATACTTTTCAATAATATAATTCCATTGAAGAATATTTAACGCTTTTGTTGAAGACATTCGAAACTGCCCCGGCGACCGTCTCGCAAGTTGTTATGAAAACAACCACCTATTATCATCGCATACTCATTACCGTAAGCTTACCTAAGCTGACCGTATCGAAAGATTAGGCAGCCAAATTCGAAATGTATTTGCGTTACTAATAATCGCTTCGCATATATTCGGCGCGACGGATGGCTATCATCAGAGGGGGGTGGCGGTGCTTGATAGAGAGAGGCTACGTAATGGAGAGTGCATTAAAAGTGCGTTCGGAAGCTTCGAAGGGGCTAACTGCTTGTGTTGTGACCAGGTGGCGCCCGCACCCCCCAAGAAGATTACCGATGCGAGCCGTGTAACAAGAGCTTATCATCTCTCACGCGGCTCAAACGGCATATACAGAACGTTCACATGAGACCCTCCAGGGAGCCAGTCTGTAACATTTGCCGGCGCGTATACTCCAGCCTGAACAGCCTCAGGAATCACAAGTCTATCTATCATCGCAAGCAGCAGCCTCCCACCACGCAGGGGCCTTACTACCCGGTCAACTGACGCCGCCGAAACGCAATGCCATACCCCACGATGCCATACGAAGAAACAGAGCTGCCATCCTAACCACCTAAAACGCCATACTCTTGCCCGTAGTACTGTGTTAAGTTAAACGAAATTGTAACGCGATAATGTTCCTAACATTTTGTACATAGCATAGTTTATATATGTACTTGCATGCGCATCGCAGAACTTATAATATATATATCTATATCATATACATAACCAACTATCGTGTAAGCGAGCGTAGCGTAGCTATATCTGGAACCAATTGGGACATCTATGATCGGTACACACATAACCACCAACTGTTTTGAGACAGCGCATTAGTCAGTTCCGGTTTCGGCTCGGTATAAATGTAAAAATATTTTTTTTGTCAAAATTGATAAGTAGTTTGTGCCAATTGGTTCCGCCGATATGGGACCCTTTGGAGTGAGTGCAGCGGTGCCGGTGTGGTGACTAATGCGCTAATGTTGGTTGTTATGTGTGGCGCAGTGGGTCCGCTGGGCGCGGGGCACCGGTGCGAGGTGTGCGGCAAGCTGTTGTCCACGCGGCTCACGCTCAAGCGGCACACGGAGCAGCAACACCTGCAGCCGCTGCACTCCGCTCGCTGCAGCCTCTGCCACAAGGTGTTCCGTACCCTCAACTCCCTCAACAACCATAAGAGCATCTACCACCGTCGCCAGCGAGCGCTGCCTCAGCAGACGCAGCCCCAGAATCTGACCACGAGTCCCGACACCAAGATCAATCCCCCGCACCACAACATCGACTTTTACAAGTTCAAAGACCAGTTTAATGTCTAATTTTTTAATAAGAACTGATTTTTATTTTTTTTATATATTTTTTATAATCTCAAACGGGATTTACAGATTAATATTTTCTGTTAACACTTTAAGACATATTTTGAAAAAAAAAATGATTACGTGTTTTGTTTTATATATAAATCTTTGAACTAGTAAATCGATCTTGAATTTGGATTGACCATGACACTGATTGTTCAGATCGGGACTTATTCATGTATTTTGACATTCCACTTTGGGCGTTGATCGTAAATTATACTGACCCTAGTGGCAACAGTCGATCTCCTATTCGCGCTCGTGCAATACTGCGGTACGTAACAATTCCTGACTTTAAACACTATTAATTGATATGTGACAATAAGGTGAAAAGTTAAAAAAGAAATATTTTGAGAAAAGATGAGAAATCTTGGTGCTGTAAATTTATATATTAGGCTTAAATTTATAAAAAAGGAACAATGTTCGAGTAAGTAACATGAGAGGCATATTCTTTTCAACGTTGTGTTCATTTTTCGGCGTCTTGCAATGTTTTTTTTTATTTATTCTCTGTGTTTTTTACCTGCATGATCTCACTCTTAGATAATTATATGAGATTACTAAAAGCTATTTAGAGAAAAGGTTATTAAAAAAACTTATATAATTACACAGATGTATAATTGGCTTAAGAGGCTTTTATTAAATTTTTTTATTATTATTTATTCTATTGATATAAATGTTTCCTTCGTTGAAGTTAAGACTGACTGATAGAAGCACCAATAATTTGGAAAAAGAATCATTTTAAAAAATATAAAAAATGCCCGCACCACTGTCACAGAAAAATCAACCCCCGGATAAGCAATAGACAAAATGATACCAGGATATACAAACAAAACAAGATTATTATAATAGCCATCACTATACCGTTCAAAATATTTCCTTAGTGTACTTAGCTTAAATTTTGAATTCTATTTTTGTCTTTCTCTTTCGTTCTTCATTAGCCATCTCTTTCTCTAACTGTCGCCATATTTCTGTGAATGCACAAGAGTTGCAATGTCTAAAAAAGTGAATCGTACGGTGCCATTTTAAACGAAACGAATATGGCTATAATATTATATTAGTTTAGTCAGATTTTAGTTACTTTTCAAACTTTAGTTTGTAACCTGAAGACACCTGTGTTCGTTTCTTATTAGTTTATCGTTAAAAAATCCCTGTTTAGTTAGGATCGCATCATATTTTGTTTAATATTCTTATTTATGAATTAGAACTTTGTATATTTTAACAGTTCCGTTGCTATTCCGATGTACATTTTTACTATTATTTTGTAATAAAATTACAAAAATACACATTATAATAAAATAGGTAATAGTTATAAAGTTTTTAATAATTGTCAATGTTAAATGTTCCTAAATTTCAACAGTGTAAAGTTTTTTTAACAAGAATACTAACATTACGTCAATGTTTTAATTGGATTAGTTTGCTTGCCATATATAGTAGTAAATAATGTATAATTACGGATAGCTCAACTTTTACTAAACTTAAACAAATATTAATGAGGCTCAGAACCCCGAGTGTAAGTATTGATCATTAATAACGATACTGTAGCTTTATACATTATAGAAAAAAAAACTAAACTAAAAGACATGGAAGCCAAGGCCAGTAAATCTTACAAAATTGAAATTTTACCTAGTAAAACTGTCGATTAGGAACTTCAGCGACATTTTATTGTGCCAATTTAAGCGATTGTCTTTTTTTAATACCTATACATGGTATATAACAAAATAGCTGCCCGCTGTCTGTATGCCAAGATCTTATAAACGACGCAACGAATTTCAATGCGGCTTTTTCAATAAACAGAATGATTCAAGAGGACGGTTTCTTTGCAGTACATATAACTACGTGGACGACGCCCTGCCGGAAAGCTAGTTTATACTTATAATCAGTCTTAATGTGTTTATATTCGAAAATTGAAATTTTTAGATGACTTTGCATTTTATAGTTTTTACAGGCATACTACTTTTTATTCCGAAGTTCAAAGGATCATTGCTTGTCAATTGTCATGTATTCCATTAAAAAAGTTTGGTGAATTGCAATAAATTATACATTCGACACAACTATTCAAGGTTTCCGTTATTAAGGTTAGTATTTGGCAAAATCTTACACTATGGGCTTAGAAATATGATCTATAAGGCTAAGAATAAAATACTCTACAAGAGTCATAAAAAGTTGAGACATCTGTAATCTGCAACGTTGTAATTTTATCTAGTTGAATATACATCACTTCAGTCTAATATAATACTATAATAGCGACTTGGTCGTTTTTTTTTTAATCAACAACTGTTATATATATATTTTTTTTAATTATAAATAGCAATAAGAATTTTTGATTGTAAATGTAAACACATAATTTATTGTAAAACAATAGATACAAGTAATATTAGTGCCTGCTTTACACCTCTATAATTGTGTTTTTTATATTTGAGGGAATAGGAAAAGACAATTAATTGTGCTCGAACTTCTAAAACAATTTTTAGGAGTAGTGTTCCAAACACGTCTTATTAGTAATGGAGTGCTTTACTTATATATTTTACACTTACAACTATGAGAGGCTTCCTAAAATAAAATTTAAAAATAATGCTATATTTTTAAGGTTCTGTTGTTATTGCTAGATAAGTAAACGCTTAGCCATTACATTTGTTTAGTTAATTAGTAAGCTTTATGATTAAATTGGAAGACTAGGGTTCTGGTGCTAAATTTGAAATTCGTGTTTAAAAAGAAAAAAATGTCATAAACGAATTGTTCGTGACGAAATTCGAAAATGGAATCTAAAAAATTGTAATATTCTTTCGCAACATTCCGTAAGAGAAACTGTTAAGTTTTTATTTGCAGTAATGTTTGAAGGGTATATAAAGTAGGTTTGTTGTTTTTTTTGTTTGTAGTAATTTAGTAAATAGTTTTCTTGTTAATTGGGTTTGGGAATTATGTTAGACGACTAACTAGCTGTAAGGTTTATCTGAATTCATATAGTTATAATAGCTTATATGTTTTTAATTTAATATTACAGGGATGTGCTGCGCAGGCAACTGAAATGGATAATAATATGTATTGATAAATTTATTTAGAATGTTTTTGTCTGTGTAAAATGGGGAAAGCCAAAATTTAATAAGCGCTATAGACTGATTAGAGTAAGGTCGCGTTTGAATCATACACTATTAGGCATATTTTGTAGATAAAAAAATGTACATTATTTACTCTAAATTAATAATTTTATAAAAAGAGAAAAAGTGGAAAAAGTGAATGGTTGATTCGCGTTTGCGAGTTTTTCGTGAGTATTTTGTTTTTGTTTTTTATTGTATTGTTATTCCAAATTTGTGAGAGTATGAAGTGAGACGAATATATTTTTTTTTTCTTTGAAGTCATAGGTGCTATGTTTTTGGGATCTCAAGGCCTGCGAGGCCGCATGAGTTTAAGGGTTGGTACTACATCGTGTTCTAAGGAGCAGAACACATCCCTGTCAAACTACATTAGTTAGGATCTTAGCCAGTTTAAGACTGTTTCTGTGACCTGTTTACGTTTTTATCTTTCTAACTTGTTAAGATAATTTTTTTTTTCTACGCACCACGTGTGCTTGACTTTATCCAATGTGTTCTTTATACTTCTTGTTGGCTTTTGACTTATTTTATAAGGAATCTAAATTAATTTATTGGTTGTTGTATTGAAATTTTATATATTATTATTTTATTATTATTATTCTACAGTCCGAGTGTTGTAAACATTTCTGTTGACAATTGGCATCTGTGTAATGCAGTCCATTAGGTTTTAAGTAAAATGTATGTGCCAAAAAAATGTACTGTGTTTGTGTTGTCTTCCATTTTAAGAAAAAGAAATCGATTCGGTTATTATAGTGAACGCCAAAATTTGCGAATCGACGAAATGTTAATAATAATGGGCTGCACTTTAATGATATTTATTATTTTTATATCACTTAATGTACCTACTTATCGAATGATTTGACATCACATGTTTATATAGTTCTTTTTCTTCCTTACTATTTTTATTAAAAAATATACTTGACATAACTACTCTTAAAATGTAATGTAATCGTTAAACCGAACTTCATAAATCCTAATATTGATGATAATGGCGTTTTTAATAAAAACAAATATACAAAACATATATATTGCCAGTTTTATTGTTACATCCAAATCAACGACCCGGTCATCTGTCATGTTCTTTATTATAGTTTGACAACCACTGGTAGAGCTGATTATGTTTGAGCGGCGCTGTTTTATGTTTCTATGGTTTCGAGCACGCTTCGCACAAGTATACAGGTTTCTGCCTACAATTCCTTTCTGCCACTGCATGTTGTTTGTTAACACTCACGGCCATGTAGCTTCGCTATCATTTTTTAATTTTATTTTTTAAATTTAGTTTTATACTTTACGATTATTTTATTTTTATCAGTTTCCTTATACTTTTTTTTTAAGTCACATTTGTTTCACTCCGTTCAGTTGTATGCAATAACTAGCCCGGTTAGGACGTGCCGTAGTCGCGCGGGGCTCACACCCCATATTTTCTTTTGTTCCTTTCAATCTGTTTCCAGGTAAAAAGTTATTCACGTGCAACTTATGCGGCAAAGTTCTGTGCTCAAAGGCGTCGTTGAAGCGGCATGTCGCCGACAAACACGCCGAGAGGCAAGAGGAATACCGTTGCACTATTTGTGAGAGGGTGTACTGCTCGAGGAACTCACTGATGACGCATATTTACACCTACCACAAGTCGAGGCCCGGCGAGACCGACCAAATCCGGTTTTTTTAGTGACTACTTGGACGGAGCTGGCGCGGCCCTCGGCAGAGCTCGTCTAGCAAAGAGAACCTCGGAGCCAACGCCGATAGCACCCAGCCAGGTTAGCAATACCTTATAGACGACCAGCGCTAACAAACAACGACACACAGATAGGGCAGACAGTTATCCTTAACACTATCATTTATTATCTTATTAATTATTATTTTTTTCATCTTATTTTTCTCAATTATGATTTTGGAACATTTTTATTTAACGCTCCCCGCCCCTCGCCCCCGTTATGTTCTCACCCCGAGTCCGGGTTTACGCAGTTTTGACGTTGTTGTGTTGCTTGGAGCATGCTTCTATCATTTTTGTTATCACGTGTTTCTGTGTCATTGTGGTTGAGAGAATTTACTTGAGAACTTTTTTGAATATTATGAAAACTCGTGATTACTGTGTAGTTAGTCAATGTGTACAGTGCATATTAGTGTTTTATAATGTATGGTCACCGTTATGATACACGCGTGTACGTGATGCGCGCGAACAGCAATAAAGGGTGTTTCAATTTTCAGCCGTCCCGCCGCTCAGAATGCCGCCTCCTACGGCCGGCGGCATCAATGAGCCTCAAGAGTGTCCATACTGCCGACGGACCTTCTCTTGTTACTATTCCCTGAAGCGACACTTCCAAGATAAGCATGAGCAGTCGGACACGTTGTACGTGTGCGAGTTCTGCCACCGCCGCTACCGCACCAAGAACTCGCTCACTACTCACAAGAGTCTGCAGCACCGTGGCTCGAGCGGCATGCTCAAGCGGCTCCTGAAGACCTCCGCGCTCCACTCGGCCCTGGCTCCGGCGCCGCACCTGTTCGATCTGCCGCACGAGCCCCAACTGCCCCCCGGCCTGCAATGACCACAACCCACGGCCTGAACGCTTCCCGCCCCCCGCGCCCCCCCAGTGCAATACGGACGATGCCAAAACACGCCGCATTCTAATCGTATTATAATATAGAGAAATATTTCACTTTAGGTTTAATTACTTACAGTATTGACGTAGCGTTGCAGCCTCCTCGGCTTTTAGGGGCGTCCACCGTGTTCAATATGACAATGTAACCCAGAGCAATACTAAAGTATATGTGTCTAGTAATGCCAAAATAATGCCAACTGTATTCTAAAGATGAAAACATTTATAAAAAAATAAATAAATTTAATAGAAAAAAAATACAACTTCTCGATAAATGTCTAGTGTCAAATTAGATTTCGGTAACTGTACAAAAAAAAGAACGTACAAATTTTAAACAGTAAATTTAAAAATGGAAAGAAAATATTTTTTAAAGAGACTTTTTTGGAAAGCCAAATCTAAATTTAAAAATACAGATTATTTAGGGTTTAATTACAAAAAAAAAATATAGATTAAAAATGTTGATGTTGAGTAAAAATTAAAGACTTCTTAGAATCTGATTTCGAAAGTACAAAATTTAAAGTCTAATTGAACAATATTAATCTATTCTATGTGCGTTTGGCTTCAATAATTATGAGCAATGATCAATGTGTAAGTAGCCGTGCCTTCGTTCGTCTTCATGCCGTTATTATTGGTAGAAGTAGCTGACCAGGTATCGCATGCGCAGTGAGCGGACGACGAACGAATAGCTCGCTCACGGCCGGTGCCCGCACGCTCACTGCCCGTGCACCGTTTACTCACGGCGTGACCCGTGCCGCTCACACTCCACGTACTATAGAGCTTTATCGTATTTTGTTTTTGAGTATTTTAATGTACTCGATAAATAGATTTAGATATGCATTAAGGATGTATTCGTGAGTGTGGACTTTGAGCGTCACGGGCATCGATCCAACGCGGAGCAGTGAGCAGGAGGGTACCGCTAGAGCGAGACAGATGTAACGGTGAAAAATTTGGAGAAGGACTAATGCCCGAGGCGGTAGTCCCGGATGATCCTTGAATACAGGGTTAGTTTGAGTACGTGAATATAGAAAATGGCGCCGGGTCGAGAGTCGCAGGTCTTCGGATAGTATTTCGATGATCGTATACGGATGCATGATTTCAAATCATGATGTTAAAATTAATCACTTCTTCTGTATAAAAATAACGTAGAAATTAGGGTATTAATTAATAGAATTATATTTAATTAAAAACTGTATCCATTTTCGGATTTCTCTCTATGAGTGTATAGTGGTTCTTTTTTAAATGTCGACCAACGTAGCGGACGTCTCGTTATTGAAATTTTATTAGATTATTATTATTATTATATTCTCAAAAATCTTAGGATTAACCATAAGATGGCTGCAGATTGTAAAAAAATATTTTATTTACTTATATTTAGGAAATTGCTTGAGTACTGCATTCGTTTCAAATATTTATATACATATCCGCTCAGGGTTTAAAACAACAATCGTGTTGATATCAAAAATATTTTTAATGAAAAATAAATCAGCTGTAAAGTCCTACATATCACAGAATTATATCTTAAAATAAAAACATTACGAAAGAGAACAAGTATTTTTTAAAACCGTGATATTTCGCAAAGCCAAAGAAAATAAATGAAATAGTTGCATTTATTTCCAATAGAGTAAAGAGAGAGAAAATAAATATATTATGTTCGAAATAAATTGAATTCTTAAAAAGACATCTATCATCGTGCCATAAACATCTTTCGAGCATTTTTCAAAATTCCCTACATATCAATTCACTAAAAGTGACATTGTTTGTTTAATAAACACAAAACAAAAATCTTAATTCTTTATCTAATGCATTTTTGATTCGATGCAACGTTTAATTAAAATTTATTTTTAATCGAGCTTTCAAATCAAAGCGAGGAACAATATTTTTGCATTTATATTAAAAATGTTTAATTAGCTTTTTAATAAGTAACAAAAAATCTTAATATAAGTTTTTATTAATATTTCTTTTTTTTTTCAAAATGTTACATAATTAATCGTACTTTGTGATATGGTTACATTTAAACGTTACTCGGTGTATATACCAAGTTAGTTTTTACAATTAAGTTTTTTAAAAGCTTTCGTGAGTTTGATTTAACCGATTTTGAAGTAAAAAGTTTAAGTTTTATATCAGCCGCCGGCTTAGAACCCATATACCTCCGTGTTTTTGTAATACCTCAAGTATATTAATGTTTTTTTTTTAATTTTTATTTCGATGTTGCACTTAACTGGCTGTATACGGACCTTCGTGGTACGCTAAAATAAAAAAAAATAGTCGGAGCTTAGGCAGAAAGAAGCGGGTAGTATGAATTGTAAATAAGTTATAAGTTAGTGTCTACTTACACGAAGCATCGTGGCGTCATGAAAAGAGAGCCTCGTGATATTATAAACTAATAGTGAATAGTTAAAATCATTAACGGAAAAGGATTTTTATATATTCTACTAATGGATTAATTAAATTAGTGAAACTTAGACGTAGTCATCGTAATGTTTTTTTAATGTTTTTTTTTTCTCGTGTTGATTGTTTTCGCTGTTCATTGGGTTCGGCTTGTTGCAAGGTTATTTATTGGGCCCGTATGGTTTCCCACCAATTTTGTTGTGTTGATTCTTTGGCGTTTGTCATTCGAAAATTTTGATCTCAATCAACAGCTGCGAACTACATCATAAAAATATTGGAGACAGCCGTTTGTTAATTTTAATTATTTAATTGTAATCAAAAATTAATCGTGTTTAGATTCGTGTCGTCCTTTTTTTAAAAAAAAACGTGTTGGCAAAAATTGAGTGATCGCAGCTATTAATAAAAAAAATACCATAATGAAAAACAGCGAAACAATAATTAAATATTTTGCAATGTATACCAAAATGCTGCATTTTTTAATGTTAAGATTAAAGTGAGATACAGATATTCTGTCTTAAAAAAATAACTTTTTAATTTCTAATTTGAAATGAAATCTATATATGTTGCTTCTTCGCCAGTTGATTTAAATAAGTTCAAATAATATTTAACATTTTGTAAACCGACTGTGTTACTATTAAGTGTAACTTTTAAAAACATCAAATAGCTTGCCTTTTCTACAGTACAACTCTTTCAATAGCATTCGATGAAGAAAATATATAAGTATTATTACTATTGTTCACACTAACAAATGACATTACGGGGTAAAAATATATATTTAATACGTAATAATTATAAACGATAATAACATATATTTTAATTAATTATTGTTAAACAAATTAATTGAGTTACTAATAAACTGAAATGCGTATTTACAATCATAATTTATAAAAATTAAATTCTAACCGTAGCTTTTTACAGACTGTAAGAGAACCCTGGATGTCATTTTGGTGTAGGGAAAACATTAAAGTTTATTTGCCTCATTGAACTGGATTTCTTTATACGTTTTTTGGATCTGAATTGTGTAAATCATGGATAGTTTGAAAATCATTGAGCAAAATCGTTAGTTACAAATATAGCTTGGAATAACGTAAATGTTGTAACAATATTATTAACTTGTTCACAAACCGTTTTCACAAATATTTTTTTAAGATAAATGCTTTTTTACATAAGTATTACCTCCAATAAGTAATATTAAGTATTACCTCCAACTGTAACACATAATTTTTAATGTTTTAAATGTAAAACTGTAATTACGACAGTTATGACATTTTGTGTCATGTTTTTTCATTTATTTCAGACTTATACACTTTTACCTCTACGGTACGCCCAAATGACGACAAATATAAAGGTTAAATGTTGAATACTTTTTATAATGTGGTTGTTACACCTGAATATTAATGGTTAATGATATTTTATATTTGTCGGAACATAACAAACGTAAGAATTAACTAACCACCGAACAAGATGGCTTGCGCGTGAGTTTCAATTTGAGAAAGTTACAATAAAATAAAAGAGTCCGAATACTTCTACAAATAAACCATAGAAACTTTATGTTAATAGTCTGGTAAGATCCTACCATTTTAACCTCGATTAGCACCTTAGAATGGTACTGAATATAATTCACTGAAATAAATCTAACGCTTAAAGTGAAACTTACGCCGGCATCTCGGTAATCAAGTTAGTTCATCTTTCGTACTCCCCTTATTAATACAATAATTAATGTAAATGTCAATCTAAGATATAACAGTTGTTACATAGTTTTTTACCATACACACATACATTATTTTTGTTGATCCATTACCATATTTAAAATGCAATAGTTCTTCGTCCTCGTGTTCATGTACAGTTGTCGATAAAATTATTTTTACGAATTTGACAACTGTATTTGAACACGTAGATGGCCCAGTACCTACAATAGTTGTTTATTATAAAATCATTTAAATTGCTCGACCGGAGATGCGAACATTACTTTAGGGATAAATCGACGTTATTTTTGAATGTGGTGATTTTTTTCTATACTCGACATTGGTTAAAAAAGAGAAGTTTTTATTTTCGTGTATCACTTAATAATAAATAATGTTAGAAGCGTCCCTGTTAATAAGGTAAGTATTTGTTTATCATACTGAATGAGTCGATTCAGCCCTAAATACAATATAGCTTTAATATTTATTATAACTTCCACTTCATGTAATATAATTATCATAATAGCAATAGTTCCCAATCTGCCATAGTACCTCAGTAAACTAATTATCTATAATCTATAATAATTAATAAGCAGCAAACCCTAGCAGGTTTTTCGTCGGTTTTATTTTAATGTTTTCATTACTTTTTTTTATAGTTGCTTAGTATTTATGTGAACGGTAAATCTGCTAGGTGAACGTTAATAATACATAGTTCCAAGTCTCAAAGTGCACTTATGACTTTTATATAAAAATGTAAGTATTGTATTCTAAGTAGCTACTGCCGCGTCGCCATCTCCGCGTCGAGCACCTCTCGTTGACCCCACTACAGTATCTATATAGAAGATATTTACATTATACACGCTTATGACATACGATATACTGACAGTTATATTCTAGAAATAACTTTTTATCTACAGATTAAGTGATTTCGTGGATTTATTCTGCTAAAGGACTTATACCATCTTTCGAAAAAAATTTTTAAACGTTCTCAAAACACTTAAAATCCGAAATCTAACTTAGTGTCTTTTAGCAGAGCAAAGCCGCCGTTGCTGTTATACTTGGATGACACATTTTATACACAGAAATATTTTTTTATAAGGAAAATATTCGATTTATATGTGAGAGTTATAAGTGGCAATTCTAATGTTTTTTTTTTGTGCACTATATTTTTGCTGACACTTAGAATTAGATTTTCTTTTTTTTTCGTAATTTAATTATATGCACGATCTGCGATTTTATTAGCATTGATTTAGTTTCTTTTGAGCTTCTTTAAAGCGGCACGTACTTTCGGGAGGTTTAGAACGATCAATCTTATTTATTGTAATGTAATGTAACAATTCCTTCCGAGCGTTCGTGTAAGCGCTACACAAATTAGCTTCGACATTGTGTTATTTGTATAAAAGTTGTAATTTTTCCATCGTTAAACAAAGAAGAAATTGTGTTAATGAAAATTTAGTTAATGAGTTTTGTTAAGCTATTAAAATGTTCGAGTTGAGTCCCGAGGGAAAGTATGTACAGAATGTTTCATAGTATTGTGTATTGATCGAGTAAGCTTAGGTGTGAGAAGATACAAGTAGGACTCTTGAAATTGTTGTAAGTTAAAAAAAACATCTATATCAGTCGGTGAAGACACTTAAAGTACTAATATGTTGTTGTAGGTTGTAATGGGGAAGGATTTTGGCGATAACGTGAGGTTTGCGACCGCTGAATTCGCAGCCATCCTTGTGAAGATTAGGAAACAAAAAAAACCATCTGAAAACGCTAAGTTTTAACTTGACTTCGTTTTGTTAATATCGGTTCATAATCCATCGGTTGCCACAATGTACGACAGACATGAATTTAGAAAAGCCGCCATGGAAATTCATGACTCTACTTGATATCAAATTTAATATAAAAGGTAAATTTTACAATTCGATACAGAGCTAATAAATACTCGTATGTATTTATTAGCTCCATATCGAATTTTAAAATTTCTTTCGACATCATTAAATCCCCTTCTATACAATAAATTGTAAATTCTTCGGTTAACGTCAGCGCTTAACTCAGGTATACTCAAGTGTTTACATTCTAGTGCCAAAAGTGGTAGCAAATTCAGTGGACACAAACCTAGGGCCTTACAATGAACTCTTTAAAGTGATTCAATTTGAGTTATCAAAGCGAAATGGCGCTACAAACGTATAGTTTTGTCTCACTTTAACATCTACATTTGAATCTCATTTCAGAGATCATCGTAAGCCCTGGTGTCTTTACTTGTGTTGATGTTATTGATATATGTGATCAAGGAATCTGGCCGAGCAGGTACATATCAAAATTTGGATGACTAGTACTATAAGTATCTTTCGTACTGACAGATTAAAGTCTATATTCGTTTAGCCAGTTGATTTCTTCAAGTCTGCATTCAGAATTTTCACGCGAAGTATTACAGTTCGATGTAATGAAAATATAAAATAAACTCGCAGTGATTCCATTGATTAATTGTATTTTCATTTAATCCTACCCTCGCCTTCTTTTAGAAATTAAAAATTAAAATGAGTGACACACGGCAAAGAAATTGGAATTTTGCAGAATTAACTGAAAAATACATTATAAACTTTTTTTAAAAGAAGTTCTTTTTAATCAGGAAACTCTGCAGGGAAAGTTTCCTGCCTACATCGGATATAAAAAAACATGTAATAGATACGTTACTGTTTATGATAGAGGTATCTACTACATTAAGTGTTGAGTGCAAAATAAATTGCGATATTTTGACATTTTGTGATATCTTCATATGCTGTTATAGCTTAAAACAATTTTATTTTAAAAACTGCAAAATAAAAATCACTTCTAAATGTATTCCAAAAGAATTGCTGTAGCTATATAGGATTTTTTCATGGGGACAAAGCCAGCCATCGAGCTATAAACACCAACTCAGTTACAGTAATGCAAGGAATTAATTCCTTGCAGAAATTAATCGATGACCAACCACTGACTGCATTTATTTTGTTTGCAAGTAAATGCCTTGCTTTTTAAAGTGATAGAGTTAACTAGCGGCAAGATTTTGCAGAAACGTTTTGACAGGAAAGTAGGAGTTGTATTGAACATTGACTGGTTATGTTCAATGCAACTCTTAAAAGAATCACAGATCTATATGAAAAATTACGAAAAAAACCAATCCTACTCGCGCAACAGAGTTCTGCACAAATTAGAATGATAATGTTCTAATGGATTGTTACCATGTATGTTAAATCAAATGCAATTGGTAGTGATGGTATTAGCAGGGACATGGTTTTGATGTCTCTTCCCCGAACTCTATCAGTTATCACTGCTATAGTAAACAAGTCCATTATGACAGGCGTTGTTCCTTCTCAATGGAAAACTGCCCTAATATCTCCAATCCCTAAAATCGAATCTCCAACCGAGCTGAAAGATCTTAGACCTATTAGCATTTTAACCTTTCTGTCTAAAATCTTAGAAAAGGTCATCTACGGTCAATTAATAAAATACGTTGAAGCCGCTGGAATACTTCCAGCTTTTCAGTCGGGTTTTCGTAAAGGTAGAAGTACTGTAAGTGCATTACTTGATGTCACTGACAACATACTCGCAGATCAAGACGCAGGACGTAGTACTATTTTGGCATTACTTGATTTCTCCCGTGCTTTTGATTGTGTGAATATCCCGCTGCTCCTTTCCAAATTATCGTATTATGGCTTTGATCCACACACGGTCAGATGGCTTGATAGTTACCTTGGTAATCGGTTTCAAGTGGTGCATTTGCGTAAAGAAGATGGATCTTATCTCACATCAGAGGTTAGAGCGGTAAGACGTGGTGTACCTCAGGGTTCCATCCTTGGGCCTCTTTTGTTTATAATATACACTGCTGATCTATCCTTCTCAATAAAAAAATGTAAACATCATTGCTACGCCGATGATGTGCAGTTATATATAGCCGGGAATCCAGCTCGGATGATGGAAGCCGTCTCCAAATTAAATGAAGATTTGAATAATATAGCAGTTTGGTCAAATAATAATTGTCTCGTATTAAATCCTTCTAAGTCCAAGTTTATGATTCTAGGCACCAAACAACAGATTAATAAGATACTAACCAATCCTCCTGTTGTTAAGATCTTGGGTAAAAATATTGAATCAGTCAATGAAACTAGGAACCTGGGAATTGTTTTTGACAGTCAGTTGCGCTTTGAAAGTCATGTATTGGGTCTCGTAAGAAACTGTTTCTACCGTTTAAAGGTTCTGTATAGGATACGACAATTTCTCTCGGAAAAATCACGAATTATACTCTGTGAATCACTTATTTTATCCAAACTGAACTACGGTGATCTAGTGTATGGGTCACGGTTGCTATATAGGACCCGGAAAATTATACAACGTGTTCAGAATGCATGTGCTCGCTTCTGTTTTCACATACCCCCACGAACACATGTGTCACCTTTTCTAATCAAGGCGGATATGTTAAATATGGAGTCACGTAGGCGTTTGCATCTTGCCATGCTTATGTTCGATTTAATGAAGTCGAAAAACCCGGACTATCTATATTCAAAACTAAAGCAGTCCACTTTTCATCATCACTACGGTTCCGGTGTCCAGCGATATATACGGGCTCCCTTGATGATGCATCATCACAAGACTGTGAGCTTCACTGGTAGTTTCCGTTATCAGGCGACTAAATGCTGGAATAATATACCTCCGCCTATAAGATTAATCACATGTAGACGAACTTTTAAAATGCATTTGAGATCTAGGTTGCTAACTGTATATTTATCGAGTCGTCGATATTTCCGCGCTATTCGAAGTACCATGATCACGGAGTAACAGCGCCGAAATGTCAGAAACTCGATAAATATAATGTATATTTTTAAAAATATATATCAGTTTTGTTAAAAATTTTGAACGTTAAGTAGTCTGAAAGAGCTAGGCAATTTTCCATTTTTTACGATACCTCGGGGTTGAGATGAGGCCAGCATTTTATAAATTCATCTTTTACTCCCAAGCCAAAATGGAACTAAAACTGAAACTATCTATCTGTTGTTTTGATAAATTCTAATTGTAATTAGTTAGACATTGGAAAAAATTCCTGAAATGTCAATGGTTGAGGGTAGCCATGGGGACACACTCTAAGTAATTTTTATAGGCCACTCGGGCCTGCACCATAATCGCAATTTAGCAAAACTTAACAACATAAAGATAACAACTAGAACAAAACTATAAGAAAACAATAATAAAACAGTAATTACACAATCAGCGAAAATGACAAAACAACAAGAAAGGCAGTAGCATTCCCAATGAATGACAATCCCGGATTACATATTTTGACTATTATGAATAAATCAAATTAAAAAGTTCTACTGCCGTAACGTTTGAAGGGATTAGGCAACGTTTTAAATTTGGTAGACTTATAAGAAGTACCTAGCTTATTGAACTCGTTCAAACCGGTTCAAATCAATTTGCAAGAACTGCCCAAAAGAACCAATCCCGGCACTTAATACTACCGAATTGTAAGTATTTTGAATAAGATATGAATGTATTTATTTTCAGTGTTATTCAAAATTGACAAAAGCAACACACATGGCATGACAAACACCCGGACCGCAAAAGAAAATTTTAAAGTTAAACACGTCTCAACTGTACTTAAACAGGTTTTCGTTTTTTTTTTAATGATCAGTTTATAGCACTTTGATAAAACTATAACTTTTTGACTTGTGAAACGTACAAAATAATCAGTCGAGATTTTATCTATTTAGAAACTGGCTGAAAGTTGATATAAGGTTCGAGAGTGAGATATTGTAAGACCGCACATGAGAAAAGTGACTTTGGGATGACAAAAATATGAGTCTCGAGTTCGTCCTGCTATGCAGGCAGGTTAAACATGTTTCCAACTCGCTTGCATAGTATATCTTCAAACAAATTTGCAGTTCTGTACATATGACGACGACGAAAAGTTTTGTCCGCATTCAAATACCGCTTTTCTCTCTCAACCATTTCTCGAGTTCGTGAGACCCAAGGAATGATCAGGAATACCGTAAAAGAATTTTTATACTTGAAACTACTGTATTTACAACCCCTAAATGAATACGGACGATAATCTGATTTATTGTGAAGAACGGTCTATAAAGAATTTGAACAAATTGCACCTTGTCCCCTTTCAGAGTTAGAAGAGTTACGTTACTTTTATTTTGTTTGTCTTAAATGAAATGTTGAAATGGTAGCTAGCTATGCAATTGCAAAATGTTGATGAGATAGAGCAATGTGCTCCTTCTTAATTACGACAATATATTAAAGTTCTGGCAAACGATTCGCGAGTTTTTGACAAAAAAAATAATGAAACGCGTGTGACGTAATTTATGTAGTGTTGCCCAAATGCAAAAACAAGACGAGACTTGGCCAGTCTTGGTCTTGCGCCAATACACCTGGTCTTGGTCTTGCAAGTCTTGCAATTACCTATTAGACTATTGCTATTTATTAAAGTTTACTTTAGATCTTAGGAATTAACATAGCCATAGTAAAGAACAATCAGATTAATAAATGTCTGAAGATTTGATAAAAAGATCGATAACTGCCACATGGTTATCAATAGGGATGATGACTAATTTTTGTTTGTTTGTCCGTCAGGCAGAGTGTTAAAAAAAAATTTACACGTATTTTTTTATTTTTTTCGTAATCATAATATTACGGCGTTACATTGAGATGAAATTGCGCATGACGTCACGTTAGAGTACGTTTTCTACTCAACTGTGACGTAGCGAGCCCCCACTCCTTAACTTTAATGCCTGTTATCTAAGTTATTTCTTGTTAAATTGAAGTAAAAAAAAATACGTATCTAATATTTTTCTATTATGTGACTGACGGACTAAATAGAATTGCATTATTTTTACCCAGTCATCATCCCTATTGAGCTATATGCCGTTTTCCATGAGAGTAACTGTTTCTTAATAAACATTTACGCTTTATAAGCTTGCATGTGCTAAAACATGTAAAAAACAAATTATTTACAATAAATTGACTGTATTTTAAAGAATCTCTCTAGAAAGAGATTGAACCCTCAACTTATATGAAATTTAATAAAAGAGTTTTACTATTTATCATTTATTTCAATAAGAAATAAAATACAACACAAATCAAATAACATAACAGTACACAACAGCTTTGTCATTAGGTTCTGTTACTTTATATAAATTCTTTTGACCAAGAATTAATACAAAGTAACCATCTGGCTGACTCATCACCAGTGGTCGGAATTAGGTAGAGTTATTCATGTACTTACACTGATTTCATACAGCGAAAGAATAAAGTGGATATGCCTCAAATCCCGAGATTAATTTTAAAGAGCAGAAAAAATCCCATGATTTTTTAAATAAAAAGTTATTTACTTTTACCCAATTTAAACTACTGCACGGACGACGTTGCCAAACTTACATCAATGACATCGGATGTCCAAAGATGTCCAAGATTGTCCATTAGAAACCCCGGGAAGGTCCACATTAATATCAATATTTCGATGCAAGTATATAAATAACTCTACCTAATTCCGACCTCTGCTCATCACTTAACCTATTTCTATGTTTTCTAATTACTAATGATGCTTTAGAAAATAATCTCTCAGCAGGTACTGAAGTTGCAGGTATTGTGAGAAAATCACGGGCCATCTTCGATAAAGTCGGATACTCTGTCTCATGCGTCCTCCACCAATCTAAAATGTCTTCCGAGCTGGCAGCTCTTGGTTTTCTCAGGTACTCCTCCAACTCGTCTATCACTAAGCCTTGAAGACAAGATCCAGATGACGTCGAGGGACATTCATAGAGTTTATCAAAGTTTATTACGTCTTTATCTTCATCACATACCTTATTTTCTTTTCTTGGTAATTTCAGAGATTTGTTCAGTGAGTGTAGACTGTAGTATTCTTCATAAAGTTCATTGAACTTGCGCAGGCTTTCTGTTTTAAGTTGCTTCCCCCATATTGTCAGGTCGAAAGTCTAAGCCTTATGCCTTGGGTCTAAAATTAAAGAAGTACAATAAATCCAGTTACTCTTCTTATAATATTTAAGCATTTTGTCTCGAACTGCAGCCAGAATGAGCCTTTCATCCACTTCAGATCGATTAGGTTTCTCATCTAACTGTTTTACCATGGATTCAATTTTATCGAGCAAGAGATTGAATGATACAATGAATAGCGGTAATATAACATATTTTTCTCCACCAAGTTTTGTGCTTAAAAGTTTAAAGTTTATTAGAAACTTATGTATTTTTTCGAGTATTTGCCATTCACTAGCTGTGATTTGAAAATCATTCAATTCGGTGATAGAACTGCACAATATGTTAATGCCCGCTCTCACTTTTAAACCAAATCCAATCATATCATGTGTGGAATTCCATCTCGTTGGACAGTCAAGAATGGGATTCAGATTTGATGGCACGCCAGCTGCTTCACAAGCAGACTGAAACTTCTTCTTCACTATTTCACTTCTTTTTATTTTACTAGAAATACTGCGTAACTTTGTTACAGATGTACGCGAGTCAGCAATATTTGGTGCATATTCTTCATTTTACTCAGTTTCGTCTGCATAGTCTTCATACTGCTGATCTTGCGCGTTAGTGTCAGTCTCACAGTGTAATGCTAAGGTCTTTAATAAATCTTGTACACCAAGGTTTAAAATGTAAGCAAAGCACCGGAAATGTTGATTGTCTGAATCAAAGTATGGTGGCAGCTGTTTGCCTAGTTCATTCATAAATTTGGTATTTGCAGTTGCGTTGTCGACCGTGATACCTTGTATTTTATCAATTATGTCATATTCCAATAAACATTCGTGGAAAACCGTTGCAATATCTTCCCCAGTATGTCGACCGCGTGGTGGTATAAAATCAAGAACTACAGATCGATACTTCCATTCGTTGTCTATACAATGCATAGTAACCCCGTAGTAACTCCTACCAGCAATTAACGTCCACCCATCAATGGTAAGCGACATTTTAGATGATAATTGTTGAAGTCGTTCCTTGAGATTCAATTGGAGCCCTTCAAATCGCTCTTTGACTTTCCTTCTAAGGGTGGACCTTTTAGGAAACACCATATTCGGGAAAATACGTCGAAAATATACTTGTGTAGCTTCGTCATCGAAAAATGAGAAGGGAAGATATTTTTTCACCACCCAATCAACTGTAGCTATCGTGATGTTGTCACTACTGTTTTCCGACTGAAATAAAACAATAAATCTTGTGTTATTATTTAAAACATACTAGGTTTGAGCGTTTAGGAGGAGGAGGTTTGTTGTTGTTAAATCGAGAAAATCGTTAAATTGAGGTTTATTATATTAAGGTTGCACTGTACTGTAATTTACCAAAATAAAGTACTTAGTTGTTACAGGCCGATTATGAAAACAAATGAAAATATGGGTGTTTTATAAAAAATATTTAACATGATAATTACATACTTAATATGTGTTATGTAATTGTGAGATAAGTAAATTTATTCCTACCTGTCCACTTCTTCCAGCAGTTACGAAAAAGCTTGCGATATCTCCGCTTAATTTTGGTTTAACAGGAAGAAATATTTGTTATTCCTTTTTTATTTATTTTATTTATTTATTTATTTTATTTGTTACACATGACAGAATTACAACAATATACATAATCAAGCAATAAAAAAGTTAGCAATCAGATGTAGGCTGCAATTCCACAAATATGCGTAAACAGCATGCACAATCAGAACAACAACATTAAAATCAAAATAGTTATAATTTTTTTTTCCAAATTAAAAAGCATTTTATCTTTTACATTAATTAAAATAACAATAATAGTAATTATAATCCCATTCATCACATATAACAAAAATATATATATTGTGGAAAGATATTAGATGTTTCCTTAAGCCTGAAGTGTTTCTGTTTTTCATTTTTATTTCATCTTTTTTATGTTGGCACAATTTACACAAGGCAGTTTGGGATGCATGAATTATTTCGAAACACTCGTCAAATTTGCTTTTGAGTCTTTTAGATCTGTAACTCAAACTCTCATTACTCGGACTAGAACAAAAATCTTCGTCACTCATATTAAATTGTAGACGTGATACGTTTTCCGAAAACAACAAGAATTAGTAAAAACTATTGTTACGTTAGACTCGAGGCACAGCTCAATTAAAAATGACTGGAATTAAAATAATTCCTTTTTTTATAGTACATTTCCTTGCTTTCTACCGCGCCGCCACGGCACGTGCCGGCTCTATTAAAAGGATGCCGCCGCAAATCAAACGATGCCGCGTGCGGCGTACAAACACAGATTAATACCTACTTGTACAGATGCGTGACATTGTACCAATCACTATTCTTTACATATAAGTGAATGTTTAGTCGTACATCTACAAGGTGTTAGGAAAACGCTTCCGAATCTTTAACATGGTTATTATACCATATTAATGGAGTCCTACAAAAATATTTGTTTACTTGAATAATTAGTATTTAACGAAATCGTATTTTCTAAGCACGCAATGTAAAACGTACAAATACACGGGTGAACGACCGCGCGGCGCGAGCGCTTTTGATAGTTGCACACATGCATAAACGAGCACACACAAACACACACAGAGACGATCGTAAGTACTACGTACTAATAACCTTTAATTTTATTATAAGTAACGATTAATTTAACCAGTTAAACTTAACATCATGATATATATTTTAATGCAAAAACGTACTTACCTGTTCATGTTCTCCGCGGTCTAACAAAGTGTGGCTCGAATTGTGCCCCATTCATCTCAACACAAATTCGAGCCCGTCGCCGCGTCTCTTCGTGAAGTCGAGGCATGAGAGTTGAGTCCTCGATACAACTCGTTCTTATTGTCTCGAATGCACTCACAATTCTTGCCCGCATTTCCTCAGCACTGTCACAAACTCTATTGAACACTTTTTCTTTAACACAACCCCACAAAAAAAAGTCCAAAGGTGTCAAATCAGGAGATCGTGGTGGCCAGGCTTGCGGTCCTAATCGCCCGATCCAACGGTCACCAAATAGTTCAGTGAGACGCTCACGTACCAGCCGTACCACATGCGGCGTTGCGCCATCGTGTTGAAACCAAGCCCTTCTTAGCTCAGCTAATGATATGCCTTCAAGAATTTCATCAAGGCTCTCATTAATGAACCTAAGATACCCAGTTCCGTCAAGTCGTTGTGGTAGAAACACCGGCCCAAAGATGAACATTGTTGAAGACGCCAGCCCAAACGTTGACCGACCATCGGGTTTGGTGGCCAGTCTCTTGAGTGGCACGTGGATTGGTTTCAGAACATAAATGTGAATTTCGTCTATTCCACATGCCGTTCCTTGTGAATGTAGATTCATCTGTCCAGATAACATGCTGAATAAATCCTGGAAGACGCTGTTGTTGATCCAACAACCAACGGCAGAAAGTGCGACGACGGGGTAGGTCTTCGGGTATCAAAGCTTGCACTTTATGAATTTTGTAAGGCCGCATTCTGTTTCTTCGCAAAACTTTGTACACCGTCCAATGCGAAACTGAGGGGCCATTTGGCCGCTGCAGTAACTTCGCAGCTGTCCTCGTGCCCAAACGGGGGTTGCGTTGGATCACATCGAGAATACGCTCCTCGGCTGCAATGTCTATTGGTCGCCCACCGCCGACCGCCACCGGAACGATCGGTTGATTCTCCAACAGTCGTTGAAACGCAGCAGTAATGGTTCGAGAGTCTCCTGGATGATGCACATTAGGAAATCTTTCCCGGTAAATTCTCAAAGCTAGAGAAGCATTGCCACGTGCTTCTCCTAAACACAACCATGTTCCCATACTCACGAGCACTGTACACATACGCATTAGGCATGATGAGATGCACTTATTGTCTAATAAAACTTAAAATAAACACTAAATAAATAAACCTAACACGCTCAACTAAAAACTATGATAACTAACTTAACGAAATAAACTTTAAAATACGCATTCGCAAACCGAGATAGAAAGTTTTTTGCCACTGGTCGGCCTCATGCCTCGCTCATATCAAAGAAGCCGCGATCATTCGTTCTTCGGTTCTTCCTACTGAATATTCGAGTGTTGCAACTTTTTTCACCAAATTCCCAAAATTGTTTTAGAAATGAAATCTGCAATTGAATGGATTGTGCATTACGTGTTCGATCAAATTTATGTTTTAACATTGAGAATCATTACAAGAACTGATATCGTAAGTAATTTTTAATAATACCGAAATAAACCAAATGAAAATTGTCTGAAAGTGTACGCTATACTAAATTATTTTTATGACAAAATAAGTAAAATATTTGAAAGAATGTTGTGCATCACTAATAATTGTTTTCACTGTATCCTAATAAATAAAAGTAAGACAGAAATTATTATCCGGGTACCGTTTTTGTTAACCGATTGGCAGGAACTTTGGCTAACGTAACTTAACTAACCTTATTTGCGACGCTCTTAACTTATTGTTATGCGAATAAATTTTTAAAAGTGATTAATGTTATTTCAATAACATCAACTTCAATTTTTAAAAAAAATAAATATTTTAATAATACCATGTAATCAAAAATATTAAAAAGATAGATAGATATTTAAAAGATAGCTTACCTTTCTTTAATATCATACAATTTTTATGGGATTTATCCCGTAAAAAAATTACCCAATTAAGGGAAAAAATTAGAGCTGGCAGCACGTGTAGCGGCAGCATGTCTCAGAAACCGGAAGCGGACGGACCGGAAAAGTGAAGCGGCATCTTTTATAAACACACTCACCGGTCACTGCGGTTCGCAATGATATCTAGGGCTGCCACTTATTTCACTTAGCAACTTTAATAGTAATTAATTATGTGTTTAGATTTATAAATAAAGTTTGTCGTAAAAGTACTAAGTGAAGTTTTACAATTCAACATCGCGTTTAATCATGAATAACCCGATAGGATTATACTATTGGGTTAGTCATGCAAAGTAAGTATTTATTAAGAGAAACAACTATTCCGATTTTTTATAGTTTTCAAATTGAAACAAGAGAAATAATTATGCTAAAATTGAATCGGGAAAAAATTCAATTGGGACTCCCAATAGTTTTTCATAAAGTTTACTTTTTTAATGATTTCACACACACACACTTCTGGAGAAATGAAGTTTCTTATACATTTAGATTTTGATGAAATAAAAATGATTTAACACCTTCCCCTCATTTTAATGAAATGTATTTATCTGATCTTTTTGTGTTTTATAAAACCTAAATAAATTACTATGCGAGTTAAAAGATATCGTTATTAGTTACATGCTCTGAATAAAATCAAATGATTTTTGTCTTAAACTTTTCTGCGCTAACGTAAAAAAAACTCATTAAAATAAAGCTCACATTTTAAAGACAAGTAAATAAAAAAGTGCACTTATCAAAATCATGTAATGTAAGTTTTATTTTTAAAAATTTACAAAGATAAAAATTTTGTAAATACTAGAGTTACTAAACCGTTTTGAAATGTTTAGTCGAAACAAATGTTTTCCAGAAGAACATGCATTTTATCTAGTAGGTTATTCAAAAACGATATTTACTCATTAAAAAGTGGCACCCCTTAACACGGAAACACTACCGATTGATTTTGCTTTACACTACTAGATGGCGCTGCATCTATCATTCTCATTCGCTATATCATCAAAACCGCCGCGATTTGCCGCTAGATGTATCTAGAAGTTTACGAGCTTGGCCTGCAGTATCTTCGCTCTCGTTTTTACTTATTGTTATTGCGTGAAAGGGAATGATCATCAATAAATAACAATTTGAAAAAATAACAAAACGCCGTTTTAAAACTACTTTTAGTAATTGCGTTTTCATTGCATTTTCTTAATAAAACACAGGAAAATGGGTACCTAAACTAGCAACGTAGAGAACTAAGAGCTTTTCGTCGCTAGATGTCGCTGATGTTTCTCACTCGTATCTTCTGTCTCTTTTCATTCTACCAGTGGTGAAGGAAAGAGAATGAAAGTGCCCTTTGAACGTACCAAAGGTTATTGAACTCTCGGGGTCGTCTACCGCCGATTAGCTGATTTTTTCGAGTTTTAATTACATTGCGTTTTTATGGAAAATCAATAAATAGACAAATTTATTGATAAAAATAGTAATACTTAACTTATTTTATATCGCTAAAAATGAAAAAAAAATAAAATCAACATATTTTTTTTGAAAAATAAAGTAATAATTTTTTCATTGCAATGTATCCAGAATCACTTACTCTATCACTGGTTTTCGTTTTCGGAAGCGTTCCCCTAACACCCAGTATACTAATATTATAAAGCTGAAGAGTTTTTTTGTATGTTTGATGACAGAAGTTTTAAAATAAATCCTGAACGTCACTATACCTCCAAAGTTACTATTCCTCGTGGACGAAGTCGCGAGCTCTGCTAGTAAATACTTACTTTAATCATCTCCCTCAGGGATATTCGGGCTCATAAGCAATACAAAAATCCAATCGCAGGCTTTTTATTTTAAAAGTAGGTAGGTACGCTTTTTATATTATTTTATTAGTTTTGTAGATTTTTTTTTACACGTTTCAAGTATGTTTAAAAGTGGCTACAATATTTTTCAAATGGGTGATATTTGATCACTTTTTGCAATTTTTTCTTAAGAAATATTTCGATTAAATGTACAATAATAGTACCTAAGTAATTAGTTTAAACCCATATAATCGATATGATAATATATACGTACTAGAATAAATTATTATGACATCTACTACCTATCCTTACCATTACCTAATCATAATACTAGTTGCGTGATCATTATAATGTATTCTTATGGTAGGTATTGGTCGTAATGTGCATAGGTCCAGTTTTTCATATTCTTTGATACAGTTTTTTGCGTCTCACAGAATTTCTAGGCGTACCTATACACCGAACTGTTATTCCTAACTACTCCGTGAAATAGCGCTAAGTCCTAGCTGCAAGACGCAAGAGTCTTGCGGGATTAGTCTTGTTTTTGCTCAAGTCTTGCATGGTCAGTCTTGGTCTAAGTCTTGCTAAAAATACGCGGTCTTGTTCTTGGTTTTGGTCTTGAATTTTTGCACGACTGCAAGACCAAGACTGAATTTGGGCAACACTAAATTTATGGCACGTCCTTTAAAAATATTCGATTATTCTTGCTGCAAATAAATAATTAATTTATATATTAAGTATCGCTTTAAACTTGATTGATTTATTATTTTCAAAGTGGAGCCACAAGAATACTATACGATTGAGATTACCACCACACTTGCTTTTAAATTAACTTACAATTTCTAAAATTACTATTGTACTATTTATATGTTGTCTATTGTTCATTTGACATTGTCAATATGACTGAATTCATATCTCTTATGTAACTAATATTTTTATGTTGATTAAAGCCAATATTCTAATGATAAATTGGTTATTTCTATCAACTATTAAACAACCAAAGGTCGGCAGCGCACTTGTAGCTCCTCTGGTGTTGCAGGTGTACATGGGCGGCGGTAATCACTCACCATCAGGTGATCCATCTGGCCGTCTGCCCCCTATACCATAAAAAAAAACAAAACTGGCCAATGTATTCCTGAACGTATAAAGCGATTGTCATTTGAGATAAGTGTGTCAAACAAAAATCAACCATAAGTCAACTGACAAAAATGGAAATGGAATGTCTAGGGATGAATGTTATAAAAATATCGTTATGTACTTAACGATAATTTTTCGTCTTAAGTGCCAAATATTTTGTTTTGTAAAAATTATTGAAAAGATTAGGTGTGTTTATTGGCCTAAACTTCGAAAAAGAAAGAGATAAAAATTGAAGACATCCTAAGGACTATAATTCTTTCAATTGTATCTCTGAAAAAGAACTCATTTTTCCTATCTTAACATTCTCAATACGTATTTTGGACGGAAATATAGGATAGATCAATTCAAAAATAAAAGGTACTTGTAATGTCTTTTGTTTTACTAACATTATTTGAAAATGTGCATAATGTTAAAATAATGGCTGGTAACGCAGTTTAAAATCTTTAGAAACATCATATAATTAATAGTACTACGAAAATCACCACTTTTAATGTCTCTGCTTTTCGAAGTTTAGGCTACCAAGCACTACCCATTTCCATCACTGGTAAGAACCTTATATAAATAAAATTCATTTATTGATTATTATATTAGCTAAACAAAAACCTGCCATTAATGAGGAAGTATTAAAAAAAAATCATTATTTCCCGAAATCAAACTAGATTTCGCTACGGTAAGTTCTTGATTTCTCCATGACAACCTTTCCGGTTTTCTTTCATGTATAAAAGTAAATTAGTTTTCAAAACACAATAAACAACTCATATTCTATTGGTACTTTTTAGTATTTGTATTGATATCTAAGTTTCGATCTTTTCAAATTTCAGTTTTTTAATAAGTTAGTTAAAAGGAACGGAAATGACTGTCTTTAGTCCATTTGTTACTTGCAAAAATAAACTTTTGCTAGAGTCGCTATCTGGTGGAGGTACTTTTTAGTGCTTTCGTTTTTTTTAAATACTTCCTCATTAGTAGTAACTACTGAGTTTGGAAACAGCAGAAATAATAATAATAAAACTGCTGTCCTCAAAAATCAAAGTTACAATAATTCCTGAACGCGAAGAGGAATACGAATACTGCCAAAGCGGTTCATAAATGTCACATCAGCAGAAAACTCAGTCATTGGATACCTATATGGTCAATCGGTAGAGGTAGACTTTTATGAATCTATGGCATATGATATATATGGACATTAACATACATTTACTCTTTTACGCATTGTATATTAGGTTTCAATATGTTTTTTTACGATATCGATTTATCGATATTCCTGTTTCTTAATATAGCTATGTGTACCTATAACAATGTTTTTATTAAGGGATCTGTATATCGATAAATCCGTTCCCGATATATCGTCGCATCCCTAATTGCGTTGTATGTCAATGTCAAATCAAATTGTTATTGTCACTTTACCGTTCTCTATCTATGTTGTCACTTTGTTGTCTGTTTTCACGTGTGGATTTTATACCATTATTTGTTTATTTTACTTGAAAAAACAAATCAAATGACTGAATAATGGACGCATATGATATTTTTAAAAAACTTACAAAAGGTTTAACTTTCAAAAGAAAAGTTTTAGGGGTTAAAAATAATGTAAGCGGTAGTCATTTTATAACCTTTAAATTGCAAAACTGCTAAGTTCATAATAAAAACTCGAAAGATATTCTATGGAGTCATTTGAATTTGTGATTGCTGTACTCTGACATTGAAGTATTTATTTTAAGTTTTAGAAAGTCTAGTACTTCATATAGGTGTTCATATAAATAATTCTTACTTTACATCAGGTACCGGACAAAAATCTCTTACCGGTAAAAATAGAAGATATTAAGAAGGAAAAAATTGAAGTCGATGATGAAGATTTCATTAGTAAAAGTGATTCTGAACATTCTGAGACAGAATCCCAAAGTCAAGGGTCTGATGATGAGTCAATGCAGTTAGTGAACTGTGTTAAAGTGGATGAAAAGAAAGGGAAAAAGAAGAAAATAAAAACTGAAGATTTACAGAAAAAGCTAGAGCTAGAAGAGGTAAACTTACTGTCCAATTATCCAATGATCCTGGCATTTCTAATATTAAATTGACATATCTAATATTGTGTTTGAATATATTGAAATTAATAATTTCAAGGAAAAAACATATTGTTATTTTTTAATTAAACTTTATAATAGTATAATTTTAAAAGTCCTTTCTCTCATATATTAAAAGAAATAAAATAGCCTAACATTATTTTAGTAATAATAGGTATAGGAATTATGTACTAAACAAGGTCCAAAATCTAATTTATATTTATGGCAAACAAAAACATAATTATTATATTAAAAACATCAATTTCATTGACTTTTATTAAATATAATATAACATTTAAAGTAAATGTCAAAGTAAAAACACAATCTCGTATCACATTTTCAGCAAAATAGGTTCCGTAATGAACACGGCATCAAGGCAGTGGGACGTCATGTGCCAGCAGCTCTTCATGAGTTCTCTGACCTGGCACTTCGCTACAATGTGTCACAGGAGTTAATTTCTACAGTAAAAGAATGTGGGTATAATGAACCAACACCAGTACAGAGGCAAGCTTTACCGTGTATGCTGGAGGTATGTATTAATACTGTTATTCTTAACATAGAATCTAAATGTTAAAAATTAATTTTACTATTTTAAATGTCCCCCTTATTTCATCTGATACAATTTCGTCCATAGGGAAGGTCTGCAATGGGGACATTAATAGGTTGGTGTCAATAATAATGTTAAATGTGATTATTTTTTTTTTACTTTTTTGCATGTCACTATTGAAGATTATTGTGGAATAATTTTATGTTTGAAGATAATTGAAATGCTGAAAAAAGACACACTACTTTTAGAAAAACAACTTGATTATTAAAGTGAAACTTCTTTGTAGCCTATATTAATTGAACAATGATAATATACGGTTGTCAATTATATCAACTGATTCTAGTTTTTTTTTACATAACTATATTTGTCAGTGTCATTTACTCATGTGTAATGGCTAAGAAAATTGCAGCCAAATCCTGTCTGGATGCACCCCAGATGCACTTCAAAGTTCTTCAATCTAATAATTCAAAGTTGACATGCATTGCTTTTTTAATTGACATTATGAAATATATCATATGACACATTAGGGTGAAATTTAAAGGACAAGTTAATTGCTGGATTGGAGCTGCGCTGTGACCTATTAATTGATTTGAAAATCATAGATCACAGTCCCATGTATTATAGTAATTGATATATTTGATTTTAGGACAGACAAATATTTGCTTGTGCACCAACTGGATCTGGAAAAACGGCTGCTTTTCTTGTACCCATACTTCACATGTTAGGTGCACCTCAAGGTGGACCTAGAGCCTTAATTCTCTGCCCTACAAGAGAACTTGCACACCAAATATATAGGGAAGCTCTCAGACTGAGTGCCTCCACACAGCTTCGATGCAGTGTCATAAGAAATTTGAAAGAAAGCAAAGTCAAGGAAAGGGAAGCTACCTTCAGAAAAAGTGGTATGTATTATTAAAATAATAATTGTGATAAATGGTTAGGGTCTAGCTGAAAGACTTGTGCAGAGTGTAAAATATAGATCGCCACGCCCTATCATTAATGTAATATCTACAAATATGCAACTTTACAGGAGAGCGGTTTAAAGATCAAAAGTTGAATAAAAACGATATTTTAAAGGTTAGGATTACGAAATTAGGCATGGGTGTTTTTTATTCTACGATACATTGAAAAATATATAATAGATTAATTTATTTTACTTTATATACGTTACAATGTCACGTGAAGCTATTTTGCACGGACATATTTTACTGTCTTACGCAGGATGTGGTAGATCCAACTTTTTTTGTTGTATAAAATTCTATACTATGTGTCCGATGTGGCACATTTAACATTTTTAACTAGATTAAATTCTGTACAATAAGTCGGATATGGTAGGTATGAAGTTTTCGATCGGAAAACTAAGTATATTTTGTTAATTTTCCTAGATACATTGTTTCTTATACCAAAAAAATGGAAATAATTTGCTATACAAAATTATAAATTTGAAATCTATTTTATTAATAAAATATGAGTGGCAAGTCTTTATATAAAGTTAATAACTTTGTAATATTACCTGTATCATTACATGCACCATTTTCAACAACTGCGTTTTTTGGTGAAATAATGCTTAAAATCCTTGAGGATCTGCTTCTCTGCGATCGATCGACATTATATGTTTTGAAATCAGAGTGCATGTTATGTTTCACAACAATTTGGCGCTCTAAAGAACCTACGTGCATTTTTCCCGACATTAACTATATAACTGGCAGATCGACACAAGATCGACACATCCACTCGTCGGTTATGTCCGATCAAAATTGACTGTAAGTGAGTACCTTCATTTTTGTACGTACACAAGCGATACTACCGACATTAATAACGTAATTATAATAAAATCAACAATTATTTTTTTGTGATATTATTCCTTACACCCTTTTATGAGGTTTTATACAAAAAAAAAATCTTTAAAATGCAGATCCCACATTAATGGTAGGGCGTGGCGATATGATGGTTGGATATTGCCACCTGAATCAATGTAATATAAAACCATGTTATTTTGAATTATGTTTCTGTAATTTGTAATTTAATATGGATCATTGGCTCTGAAATAAAGGTTATTATTATTATTAGTAAATTTTGCACTTGTAAAGTTACCTTAATATTTTATGGCTTTAAAATGTATAAAAATACGAATTTAAATGAAGGTAACACTTACACAAAAAGATCAATAATTTTTTTAATTTGTTTTCTGGCTGAGTTTTAAAAGCACCAACTTGGTTATTAACAATTTACTGGTTTGACTCGAGCCTCATATTTATGACAGTTAATTTTTTTTTCAAGAATGTCATAAGTAAAATTATAAAGTACAATGATTCCACCCTTACCATTTTTTTACAGATATTGTGATAAGTACACCCAACCGACTCTGCTATTTGCTGAACCAGGACAGTGTCAGTGTTTCACTAGACAAGTCAGTAATCTCGCATTTTTGTTGCTATTTAAATTAGAAATTCATTGGATTAATAATAATAAGTTACTTACATTTCCATTTCTGCTTGGCTAGCAGTTTTATGTATTTTTATGCCACTTTATAATTTAAAATGAGTATCCTTAAAATTATCCATCTAAGTATAATGCCTGGCTCAAAAGTAAATGTAAAACACATATTCTTTGATGAATAATATTTTTAAACCAAATAAAAAAATCTTTATCAAAACATGGGACATTCTAACCCTATTAAGAACGTCATTTACTGATTAACAACATATACATAAAGGAGAGTGGGCAGAAGTCGGCTAAAATTACGCAAAGTTGCGCACTACGCATTTATTTATCAAAAAAAATCTCTTTAATTATAATTTATTCTATACAAATAGTATTTGAAAATTATGCGGCATTTAAAATTAACTCAATTGAAACAATTGCTAAATATAAATAGGACTACCTACTAAGTTTCAAGTTATTAATCGAGTTGACGTGCGAACTACTAATTTTACAAAATAAGTATTTTAACATTGATAATGTTGGTCAGGTATTATATTGGTCAAAGATTTTTTAAATCGGCCCAGTAGTTTTTTTAGTTTATCCTTTACAATAAAAAAGCAAAGCTTTCCTTTTTATAACATAGGTATCTACTTTTTCACAGTAAAATATTTCTATCTGTTAGTCATCAATTATTTGTAATACATAATTCATTTTTAAATATTAAGATATTCTCCAACTCCGGCATAAATTTAAAATGATTTTTTTCCTACTCATTCTAAAAATAATTCTCAATCGTTTGCTGTTAGTTTCAACAAGGTGCATAGTTACTCAAAAATAGCCGAACTCTCAAAGTAAATTGCCCATTCTCCTTTACAAATCACTACAATTTGAATATAATAAAATAACAAGAGTGTTCAATAGACAGGCAAGAAATGCAATATGTTTGTATATTATTATTATGTTGTTTAATGCAATATTACTCTTGGGTGTGATTTAATAACCAAAGACAAAAAAAATCACAACAATGACAAAAATTCTTCAATCTATAAGAAAATGTCAAGCGCGTGATGAGACTAGGTCCTGTTGCTATGGTTAAGTTTCTCCCTCTGCACACTTCATCTCCTTCGATACCTAATCTCGTTTACCGCGCAGGGTTTACTCTCGTGCCGAGCACTCGCAGTAAGCTTATTAGCAGTATACATCATATCATATTATCGGGCCGAACATTCTGAATTAACATTGAAATATTTCAATCTATTTTATTGGCATAAGAAGCAATATTCTAATTCCAATTGATATTATTATTAGAGTTCGATGGTTGATAATCGATGAAGCGGACAAACTGTTTGAAGGATCCAGCGAACAGAGTTCAGATTTTAGACAGCAAATGGATCAGATCCTGGAGGCGTGCGGCGGGAAACAGAAACGCATCGCCATGTTCAGCGCCACGCACACCCCGAGCGTTGCCAAGTGGTGTCGACATCATATGCGAGGACTTATCAACGTCACTGTAGGTCAAAGGTCAGTGTGAAACACTTGTGAAGTGCCATTATTTTAGTAGCCCGGTGGCGTAGTGGATAAGCGCCGCGGCCCGCGATCGTTGTTGTTAAGTAACTTTCGCAAGGGTCGGTCACGGGATGGGTGACCAAAAAATTACTATCTCGAGCTACTCCGTGCTTCGGAAGGCACGTTAAGCCGTTGGTCCCGGCTGCATTTGCAGTCGTTAATACCCTCCAATCCGCATTGGGCCAGCGTGTAAGGTCATGGCCCATCCTCCTTAACCATCCACAAGGAAAGTCTGAGCCCCTGCAGACTTTCCTTGTGGACGTAAAATGGTTGATGATGATGATGATTGAAATTTTATCACCAGCCTACTAATGTCGCCACTGTTGGAGCACAGCCCTCTATAGATAGAATGGATTCGAGACGTGACCACCGCGCGGGCCCATTACGGATTGATGGGTGTTAACGTGATAATAATTTATCGATCACCCATTCTGTGAGCGGCCCCTGCAAAAGCGCTAAACATTGCGCTATCGAACTCTTGTATATATAGGGACTAAATAAATAGTCCCTTTATCTGTGAAGAAGAAATCAACACTATAGACTCCAATTCTCAATCCTTCGGACATTTTTTTTTGAACTGTTGTAAAAAAACAACTTTAGTAGTATGTATTTTACACGAACCGTTTATGTATAGGAACGCGGCGACCCACCTCGTGGAGCAAGAGTTAGTTTACTGTGGCAATGAGAATGGGAAAATGGTCGCCTTCAGACAACTCGTACAGAAGGGACTCAAGCCACCCGTACTGGGTATGTACTGTAGATAACTTAAATAATGAAACGTATATATGAAAAGGAAAGCAAAGATTCTTTTAAGGGTGTCGAATTATTTATTGTTTTTGTGTCAAGCTAATATGATTCACAATCAATAATTGCAAGATACAAAAAAAAACTGACCAATGCGAGTTGGACACGTGCACGTAAGGTTCCGTACCGAAAACGATCGATAGAATTATTCTGTTTGTTTTAGTATTGGTTATTATAGCGGCAACAAAAACACATTATCTGTGAAAATTTCAACTGTAACTATCTCGGTTTATGAGCACAGCCTGTCGACAGATGGACAGAAAAACAGACAGCGAAGACTTAATAGGGTCATATTTTACCCTTTGGATATTGAACCCTAAAAACCCTTTACTAAAAAATTTACATTTGAAATTTCTCTTAACCAAGAAGAGAAATATGAAGTGTATTTCTGAAGTATATTTAAGTGAGTTCTGACTAGTGAATTTGTGAAAAAACATTGCGTGGGAGCAACGAAGAGAAAAAACGAGCTTACTCCAACACAAACACAAAATGTTAGAATAACATGAAAAGGGTTAAGTTTTATATAAATCTCGTAGACGCGAACGATGCATTATTTACCGGTATATGCTGATATCTAATTAGGTCGAATAAAACATGGACTAACTGCTATTAGCCGTTTGCTTCGAGTAGAACGAAGTTCAGTTGTAGAAATTCAATTGACAAATGTTACATAATTATGTAATTTGCTCATCAACTAATACCGTCTACATAAAAATAATAATTGTGTAAATAATATTGTTTATATGTAGAGAAAATTATTAAATAGGTATAAGAGAAAATTATTTAATATAACCTGGCTTAACTTTGCATAATTTAAAGACAAGTTTTGGATTTTCTTTTTTCGTATCTAACTCATTATTTTAAACCCTTTCACATATGTTTTCTTTAATGAAATGTATAGAAAATTAAAAATATAATTGATACTTACATTCAGTAAATAAAACTTTAAACAAAAACACCAATACCATAATAATACCGGACCGGTACGGACAGACGTACGCGATGTCGTTGCTGGCGGTACTCAGAGTATCTGTTAGGAGCCGCGGGGAGGTGGAGCGTGGAGGGTGGGCGTGGCCAACTATAAGCGGACGTGTCCGTTTTATTTTCTCTATGACATTATAATATTTGATAAATTTTGAATTCAAAATGTCAGTCCTGTAAGGTTCTGGGCAGCTCAGTGGTTAGAGCGGTTGCCTGAATTGCGCAAGGTTGTGGGTTCGGAGTACCGGGGACAAAGTGTTTTTTTTTTTAAGCATTTCATGAAGAATACAACATTATATATGTACAGTGTTCGTGCAGAGTAAGGACCGAGCGAAGCAGTTATTCAAAGAGCTCATATACGACGGCATCAACGTGGACGTGATACACGCCGACCGCACTCAGGCGCAGGTTAGTCTTATTATCATATTATGGGCCTAATTCTCTATTTTTATAATCTATCGCAGTACCTTTCAAAGGTTTAGCGAGTGTGATAGCAATCTATGGAATTATGTAAAGCTTCAATTCGCAAGTGCTTTCGAAACGAATAATAATTTTAATGGTTAAGAAACCATAAAAACGTAGCAACATAAAGTAATATTTGTAATAAGCAGTGGTCGGAATTAGGTAGGGTCTTACCGTCAGGTAGATTATTGAAGAATGTTAAACACGTATTTTTTATTATTTTCGTAATCAATTAATTATTACAGCAGCGATGCATTAAGTTCAAATGTCGCATTACGTCACGTATTTGTACATTTTCTACACAGCTGTGACGTAGCGAGTCCCCACTCCTCAACTTTGATACCTTTTATCTGGCTGACGAACTAAGTAGATTTTTTTTTTTACCCAGTCATCATGTCTATTCCAATTAACGATATTAAGAAAAAATTGCGATCGCAATCGCTAACATGTCAAATACATAGTTGTGGCATGAAGTTCGTGAATATCTATCAAAGGATGCATACTTTCCGTTAACGATGCGAGTATACAATGTTATTTTTAAAAGAATATGGGTATGTTCCGATATACACTGCGACCACTGAACAGTATGACGTCAATTTAGTATACTGGAAGCTCGTTCCTTTATAGCTAGTTATACTGGTGACTTTTTAAAACGGAACGCAGTCCAGTATACTGTTAATCCTATTTTTGGTGCCATTTTCAAATTTGTTAATGCAAGGTGAATATAAATATAAAGATTCCCTCTTTTCAAAAGAAACTATTATAAAATTGGAAAATTGTATAAAGAAATTATTTATCCATCTTATAATAAACGTAAGTATTATTTTTTTTTGTTTATTTAGAAACTTATCATTTTCTGATTCTGTTTCGACTGATCAAAAGCACTGCGAGCACCTTACCTCGAAATCTCCAGTGCTCACAGTACAAACATGGCGGCAATTTATGACGTCATAAATTTCCCTAGGGTACTGTAGCCGTGTACTGGCAGTCCATAACGGAACGGATTTTTCAGCAGTAAGACCACTGCGCAGTGCTCGCAGTGTATATCGGAACATACCCTATGTAACTTAGAGTTTGCATATCATAAGGTCGAACTGCGTCTCGCGCCTTTTTGTTTTTCCAGTTGTCAATTTATATATAATATTTTTCAGAGTCAATTAACTTACCCTTCAATAAACTACCCTTTTTTATATAAATAATTAGGACTACATTTATTGCGAGAGCTGCGTCGTTTGCAAAGTGTACACTTTGATTTAAAATCATTTTTTAAATATTGTCTATCGAGGTCTGTTGTTATCCGTGTGCCTCGCACATATGTATATACAGCGCGACAACGTGGTGCGCAGTTTCCGCGTGGGCCGCGTCTGGGTGTTGATATGCACGGAGCTGATGGGGCGCGGCATCGACTTCCGCGGCGTCAACCTGGTGCTCAACTACGACTTCCCACCGTCCGCCATCTCGTATATACACAGGTGCCTACATATTACTTTAGGAGGATGGGCCACGACCCTCCACGCTGGTCCGATGCGGATTGGAGGGTATTAAAGTCCTGGCAAATGCTTAACGGGTCTTCCGAAGCACGGAGTACCTCCGGATAATAATTTTTGGTCACCCATCCCGTGATCGACCTTTGCGAAAGTTGCTTAACAACAACGATCGTACGTCGCAGCGCTTATCCACTACGGCACCGGGCTACTCTTATTACATATAATGTTTTGAATGACAGTTTCCTTCAATGGCAACTAATTGGAAAAGTAGTATAGTAGAGTAGATAGCGCTAGTTGAATTAGGAGTCAATCGGCTTCTTAAATTTTTAAATGTATGTTGGACCAATTAGCATATTATGCTTATATTTATAACCCTTTTTCCATACTTATATTTTTGATTCACACCAATTTGTTTCACGTTTGATTCCCATTCCCAACCACACTAGGGCACTGAATAAAGGGGGGGTAAGCGTCCTGGTGACTCGGTCACGGCATCCCGGATCTCATCCCCAGGGGAGGCTACATTTTTCGATTTTGTCATATAGAAGACGGTAAACAGCGTTTGGTTAGATTAGGTTGTAAAACTCTAACTACTACTACTCTTTCAGGACTTCTTCTATCTGACCAAAAGACAAAGCGAAATAAACTTACCAGTACTTTTTCAAATTAAATTGATTTGCAGACTGTATATGTTGAAGTATAAATATTTTTTATGTAACAGGGTAGGTAGGGCAGGACGGGCGGGGCAGCGGGGCAAAGCTATCACATTCTTCACGCAAGATGACGTCGGCAACCTGCGCAGGTACCTTACTCTATTTGAATCTCACTCGTCAAAATTTTATTTAAATTGGATTAGTGTGCGTTTTGAATAGAAAATTTCTACTTGTCTAATAAATATGGCCCAACGCGTTTTGGAGGGAATTAACGACCAAGAGCAACGGCTTAGCGTGCCTTCCGAAGCACGGAGTAGCTCGAAATACTAAAGTTGCTTAACAACAATGTCCAGGGGCTCGGCGTTTATCTTAATTATTTATTATATTAACTTAATTATTTTTAAAGATTTCGTTTTTAAAAAAAACTTTTAACTCCTAGTGTTCATACAAAGAGGTTTATGTCACAATTCACTGTACACCTCGGCGATTGGGTACAGGCTCATGATTTTTGCATTCACAATGCTGTGCTGAAAAACATTCTTATTGAAAAATGCTTAAATTCGACTTTTTAAAATCCCATCTCAGGGTGCCAGGGACCAAGTGGATTTTTTAAGCATTTTAAGATATTTAAGAGATCTTAATAATTGCAGCATAGCATCCGTGATGAAGCAGTCCGGATGCGAAGTGCCTGAGTACACGCTGAAGCTGAAGCCGGACCACAACAGGAGGAGAAAACTCGCCAAGAGAGCGCCCAAGAGGGACCAGATCTCAACAGTACTACAGAAGCGACCCGACAAGTGAGTTACAAACAAATCACTAGAAAACAAAATGGACATGTATTTTAAATATTTTAAAGTTGTTTTTTTTTTTAGCTATTATTTAAAAAGTCACTTTCAGTCTTAATATAAAACAAGGACTGAAGTGAATAGTTAAAAGACCACCTAATACTAATTTCCAATAACAGAAGAGAAAACGTCAAACTGAGATGTGTTGACTTATTTTGGACGGATAATAGTTTAAACCTGGTACAAGTTATTCCTCTTTTTATAATAGGACGCTTTCTGTTCAGGTTCCGCTCTCTTTGGTGGTTTCCACAAGTGGACATCTAGATTTTAATTATTTTGTATTGAGTCTGTGTTTGTCTTTCGTTTTTGTTTCTACGCTTTTTCTTTTAATATCACGGTATGTGTTGTAATATATTTTAAGCGAAATACTTCATTAAATTATCTTTAGACTGATGTTTTGAAGATTTTTACACATGTTGCAATAAATAATCGTATTATTTTAAAACATGGTCCTTCGAGCTCGAGGAAAAAGGAGCGGTAGAAAAGGGCTCTATTAAATGCTGTGAAAGTCGCTATAATTATTCAATGGCCAATCCTTAATCACGTTTCATTTTCTCGTTTTAGGAGAAAATTAGATGCTGCCGATGAAGCCAAGACTGATAGTGCTAAGGAGACATCAGTCGTACAAAGTGGTAAAAGAAAGAAACACAGAAAATTACAAAATGGCGACCAGCAACGAAAAGTTGATAACAAAAAACAATATGGAGATGCTAAATCAAATATTAAAATAATAAAATCACCAAAACAGAAAAAGTTAAAGAAAAATAAACAAAAAAAAAATTAGTCACTACAAATAATAATGCGTAAATTATTTTTAATGGTGTAAATATATGTTATTACACGTTGATTCGTTTTATAGGTATTACGAGACAATTGAGGTATGTATTAGAAATAATAAAAAACTTCAATACTTAAAAATAAATTTTATTTCGTTTGTGACTCACAAAACACGTACAAAATATACAGTCTTCTTCAATTATATACAGATAAAATAGATAATTATTTTTATACTAATAAAATTTAGGTAGTTCTAATCTTTGTAGCCGATTTCGTAATATGGCACAATACTTTAGTATAGCAATATCCGATGTATCACCTATTAAGCATTGTAAAGCCTCTTTTTAACTAAACTTAAGATTAATTATTCGCACATCATAAGTCTTTTAGTCACGCATGAGTAAAGGCATTTAATCTATTTTTCAATCTAATTTTGAGCTCTACCCATTTGTAATAAGCGCTATTTTTGTAATCAAAGGCAAGGGACAAACGATTCATTAATTTACAACAAACCCAATTGGAGATCTTAGGGTTGAGCTACATGTGGCAGTTCGTTATCTCTTTTTTACGTAATCTTGTCCTCTATCGTTATGGATCGCCATTTGCTGGACCGAGAAAGGTAGCGGTGCGTACAGATAGCATGTCGCGGAATACTTAAGGGGATAGGAACACGCTAACTTCCTCTCTCTAGTAAATTCGGTTCTGAACGACAGAAAAAGATGGAGTGACGTATTAGCTCAACTCTTTAATCTTTTTTAGATCGTATATTTATTCAATAATTGCATAGTTTACTAATTTCCTAAAAAAAAAAGAAACCATCTGTGTCAGTTTTATCATTAAATGGTTTTATCATTAAATGGTTTTATCATTACTTCAAAATGAAAAAATATATATATACATTACTAAATACTTCTTATCTATATGATTGTAGCCTCATTAGTAGCTATTATTCTTATTAATATCGATTTTAACCTTTAAATATAGTGGCAACATCGATTGATCCATGGCATGTTGGTTGCCTATAGTAGCAATACTAAATTTTTCACAGTTAATATAATATCGAAAGTATTACAGCACTACACTATTTAATATCAAATTTAGCTGCCATATAATAAAATTTGTTATTTAAAAATCATAATTTTCATTGATTTTAGTTGAGTATCGATACTAAAAAATATTTACTTAATTCTATAAAAAGTATCCCCTTGCTATGGCTATAAAAGAAAACTTAATAGCATATACCATGATAATAAACATTATTGAATGTTATATAAAGATAATACAACTAATATTTCCTAGAGATCTTATGTAATAATTATGCAGATTATTTTTATATACCTTGTAGTTTTTTTAGACCAGAAACTTGCACGATTTACTACCAGTCACAATGTCTATTGTTATCACACAAAATTATAAATGCTAGTCTAGGATAACATTTAATGCCCAATGATCTTTTTGTTTTCATTAGAACCGCCAAATACATTCGTATATAAATCTTAAAAGTCACAGATCACTTTCACGTTCTAAAGCTGAGTATTCACTGCCTGCTTCCCCGAGGTAGATAATATAAAAACACTACCTCGTCACGATAAACACTATGAAACCAAAGCATTGCATTTTGTCACCATATTGTCCTACAGTACAGTAGTATCCTTAATATGTTAAAAAACATATGTGTCAAAACAATTATAAAAACACCGTTGGCATGTTATATTTGTGTGAACTTTATCATACTTGAGATCCACTAAAGATTTTAGAATGTCGTAAGATGTACTTAGTTTGATAATAAGAGTTAGACTTGAAAACAATACTAGTACGTCCGACCCCAACATTTTCATTCGCACAGCCAGTCGCAGGGTAATCTAGGCATTTTATTAGCGGGCCACGGTAAATAACCAGCCGTCTTGAATACCCAATAGTCGTAAGAAACTTTGCTTATTAACAGAACGAACACTAATACTTCCAGTCCAATAATGTAATATATGTAGTCTGTCCAATCCCTAGGCATGTGGCATACGCGTGTCTCTATTAGGTCTACCACGGGGCCCATGCCGTCCTGGCATTCCAGACCTTTATAGTCCGGAATGTTTTTGAAGTTCTCTTGGAGCCAAGGCTGGAAATGAAAAATATTTAAGTTTTCGCAGGTCTTATGAAGCTTATGTCGTATTTTTTTTTTTACTTTTAATATTGGCAAGGTTATATTCCCTAAAAAACAGAATCCTAACGCCGTTAGTACACCGACGCAAGCGCATGCAAAACCAAAATAAGAAAAAACTTATCAGTTGTATGATAGTGTTTTGCGTGTGCTTTTTCTCGCTCAATTATTAGCTCGACGAAATAGCTGTATTCTTGTCAGAACTGTTGTAAAAACCTCATATACCATATTATTTTTTTATAATTTTTATATACTCATTCAATGAGTACTTGAGTTAGTTGGCGAATCTAACCTACCCTTACTATCCACCGAAACTAATCTGCCTACAAATTTTTAAAGAAATACAGAATATACTCCAAACTACAGTACGACCTATTAGAACCCTCGATAAGCGAATGCGATTTACACGTTACATTTTAAAGGTGTGCGTGTAACACACCTTTTATTTCGTCCTAGGTTCCCGCATCCAAACTTTTTATCTATGATCTTTAACATCATTTCTTTTTTATTATTAACTTTTCGTAATTTCATTAATCCAATATGCTCTTTCTGAATGTCAGTTCGTGAAAATTCAGCCAGTTAAAACACAGCATCAATTTCTGATACAAAAAAGTGTTAGTTAGAATTTTAAAATACAATTATTATTACTTATTCTGTTAATAATCTTAGTCAGCCTTTCATTTACCTAAGCACCAAACCTCACACTCTTTTACCTGAATACCTACTTTGATAATGCATAGAAATATTTAAAGATATACATAAACTGTACCTTTATCATCTTCTCGGCGTTGCAGTCGCATATAATCTTATTGCCAGCGATAGATAGGATCGGCCCTATTGTACCGACGCGATTCGACAATACGTATGTGTGGATCTGAAACAATACAAACCAATAAATACGACGTAAGCCAGTAGCCTAGATTCACCTGAGACTGGTAAGTCGTAAGGAGAATAAACTTTCTTAATATAAATCATCTAATTATTACATAAGAACCTTGTTTTAGCAGTGAAATCTAATGAATGTGCTTTAAAGACCTTAAAGAATCTCTTAATTGATTGAATCCATACTGAAGAAGTCTAGCGTTGGTAATAAATATGTTGACTCATCGATAATTATAATTTACCGTCTTAAGTTTGTTGTGGCTGATGGAGAAAATCATAAAGTTGTCAATGAACTTGGTCCCCTCAAGCGCCACGATGTTGGTAACGTCATTGTAGTCCACGAACAGCTGCCGCAAGTGCTCGTAGCTGGGGTCGTCGCCCACCGCGCTCAACGATGTTATCTGGTATAAACCGCAACAGTATTGATGAGATATTGCAGCAAATGATTGACACGACAAAATTGACGGGAAGCTCTAAACATTCTTTTTTCTTGGTAATTCGAATGAGGCTTTCGATTGTGTTTTCCTTGAAAAATTGGTAGCTAAAAACATCAATGAAAAAGAATTTCCTCGTCTCATATTTGATTTTTATATATGGAAGATTGGCAATTTAACATCGGTTTAAAAATAGTAATTGTTAGACAACTAAGATGGAAGTTCCTGAGGGCTCAATCCTTGGTCCTTTCTTATTTTGAAAATGTATATTGTTGATGAGACTCATCGAAATACTCGAAGAAATAACATAGTGAACGCGAAACTTTACCTATTCTTACTTGTTGTAATGTTAATGAACACGTATGAAGTTAGGGTAGTTACATTGTTGTAGGAGACGTTAAGCTTGACGGTGTTGGGCGGCAGATGCGCGGGCAGATGGCGCAGGTGGCGGCGCGAGCAGTCCACCGCCACGAGGTTGGTCACCTCGTCCCCCACCAGCTCCAGCCGCTCGAACACGCAGCTGCAGTTGCTGTCCGGCGGCTGGATATTGCGACAGTTCGCGTTTAACTGCCATACGCAATGGAATGCAAAATAAAATGTCTGACATTACTTAAAACTTCAAATATATGAGCACAGATGTCTCATTTCACAATTTAATAGTATAATGTAAAAAGAACACATATTTTTTTTAAAATGTATTATTTGTTTTATTCTAGAATTCAATTTTAAAATCACTGCTAAATAGCGTGCTAGATTCTGATCGGTCATTCAAAAACTAAGTATTAATATAATTCTTTATTTTATTTATTTATTTAATCTTAATTGCTTAGTAAATAGACAAATGGCGGGCTTAATGCCAAAGAGACATTCTCTACCAGTCAATCGGTAAGTTTAGTACAAAACTAAGAATTTCTGCAGTATTATTCATTGGAGGCCTACCTCTTTCTGTACTTTAAGGTGATCTATCTGTACTATCTGAACGTCTTTAAACCAGTTGAACTGCAGGTCTAGAGCGCAGAACGTCTGGTTGTACTGCAAGAATGTCACCAAAGATATGTTGTTGGTGTCCATCGCCCGTTGGAAGTGCTTGCACGGAAGGTACTTGTTACCTGGAAGACAACAATAATGTTAAAGAAAAAACTTGAATATATGCGAGTATTATTTTTTCTATTTAAAACAACTATTTGGTTTTTTTTTTTAACTACTGAACGTTACTTTTTTAACACAACGAGGGAGTTTAAAAAGCTTTTCGTATTATATAGGTGGCTCGGTGGCGTAGTGGATAAGCGCCGCGGCCCACGATCGTAGTCGTTAAGCAACTTTCGCAAGGGTCGGTGACCAAAAAATTACTATCTCGAGCTACTCCGTGCTTCGGAAGGCACGTTAAGCCGTTGGTCCCGGCTGCATTTGCAGTCGTTAATACCCTCCAATCCGCATTGGGCCAGCGTGGAGGGTCATGGCCCATCCTCCTTAACCATCCATAAGGAAGGCCTGAGCCCCTGCAGTGGGGACGTAAAAGGGCTGGTGATGTGATGATTATATAGGTAGGTAAGCCAACCAAAATAACGAAATAAATCTTTTTTACAAAAATATATGTAGTTTTGAATTAAGTTGCATTCAACAAGCTTTCCTTACGAAATTGAAATTTATCCTCTAGAAAATTACTATATATTACCAACAGTAAAAGAATGTAATGTGTAAATTAAGATTTGTTTTTAATTTCTCAGTGCTGAATGATGTTATCTATATTACTTACCGGATAGGTCGACGGAAATCTTCTTGTTACTGTGCACTAGACTCAACGGAAACTCTGTGAGATTGTTAGCTGACGCGTCCAGCACGGTCAAGTTGAAGAGGTAAGCAAATGGACGGTGCGTGGACGGCAGCTTGGCGGTGGTCAGGTTGTTATTAGATATGTTCAAACACGCCATAGAGGAATGCTTCGGAAACTGACCTGTAACGTGTAAAGTGCCTATAAATGTTACATCACAGATATTCAGGCAATATGATAATTGTAAGAATTGACAGTATATGTGTAGTAGATATAATCTGTCTCTTCAAATTATGTACTTACTATTGTGAGTATATTTAAGTAATTGGTAATATAAACTCTTATACTTTGATAGGTACTCCTGTGCATGCCAAAGTTTATAAACTGACTGATTTTTACACTTTTACGGTTTCACACGCATAACTATATGTATATTTGTAAAGGTATAGCCTTATCGTGTGAGCTACTGACCACTGATTTTCCCGATGTCGCCATCAGTAAGCGCCATAGAAGCCAGCCTTCGGAACACAGCCTGCGAGACATCCAGCTCGTCTATTGTTGCGTTTAACACATGAAGATATGTAGTATTCTGCGTTACTGCGAAATAAAAATGTTATTACTATAATATAATATGATTACATCTATAGACTGAGATCTTTTTAATTGCGCAACGGAATTTAAAGCGGTTTTTTATCTATATACAAAATGTTTTTATGTTATAGTACAGGACCATACAAGTGAAGCCACTGGCAGAAAGCTAGTATTATACTCTTTGAACTATTTGTAAGCTGACAACTCTGTATGAAACCAAAGGCAGCATAGAACAGATTTACTCAGTTTCTTCCAGCTTCTATGTATTCTTCACTTGGAAATTATCATATTAAAGGAGACGCATACGTAATACCAGTGGCGAGTCACAATAGATTCATTTTGTAATGACCTCTGACCTAGGTAAACTAACCCTAACCTTTTATGAAAAGGACATAGTACTTACACAACTAAAAAAAAACTGTTACGAAATTTTTTTTGTCTAAATTGGCACTGCGCCGACACGCTACGGCGGCAGCCAATAAAAAACCAAGTCCATTTAAAACTTGTCTACGATTTATAACACTGCGATCGATTAATAATAACTATATTTATAGGCACAGTGGTGGAATATGTAACAGTTTATATGAACGAGAAGAAGGAATTAAGCTTCCAAAATAATTATATAATCTAATATAGGTGAGTGAAATGAGCTGTCTCATTATCGACACATACCCTAAAAATCGTGGACGCAGAACGTTTTTATTAACATGGATACATTAAATTGTTCCATTATTCCCACCCGTCTGTTATTGATGCTAAAATTAAACATTAAACACAAAACTTACTCATGAAACTATCACCTGGCAGCGAAAACAGAAACAAACACATTAAATTAACCCAAAACACACGTCATTTTTGAATGGTTATAGTACAGTAACTATATTAAATCAATTAATAGGGATGATGACTGGGTAAAAAAAAATGCAATTCTATTTAGTCCGTCAGTCAGATAATAGAAAAATACTTCATTTTTACTACATTTTTTTACTTCAATTTAACAAGAAATAGCTTAGATAACAGGCATTAAGTACCATAACGTGACGTCATGCGAAATTTCAATTCCATGTATCGCCGTTACTTTATGATTACGAAAAAAGTAAAAAAATATGTGTTTAATATTTTTTAACACTCTACCTCTGACGGACAAACAAACAAAAATTAGTCGTCATCCCTATTCACCTAATATATTTGTGTACGATTATATGTCGCAGGAGTATGATAAAATCAGGATATTTATCAAAACAAACGACTTTATCGAGAACCGAATGATGATATATTACGCGGTTTCATCGCACACCGATGTCGCTTGCTCATACAGTCGTAGCCCAATTAGGACACCTGCCTCCATATATAACTCGTAAGGGTTGATTAGATTTTAAGATTATTAGTAAAATAATTCACTCATATTTGGCAAGCGTTTCGGATATTATTCGCTGCATTTTCTACCGACCAAATAATTAACTATAAAATTCGTCTTTAAAATTAGTCATTCAGAACATGTACCTAATATTAGTAACTGCGTTTGTTTTACATTGTTTTAAGTATGGTGTTTATAGGGAAATTGTTAGAAATCCATCTTCAAGCCACCAGTAAGTAGCTGCATACTAATCTAATATAAACAAATGTGATGCATATAGATAATTACTACACATTGAGGCCAGTGATTTATGATTTGTTTACACCAAACTGCATATGTTATATTTGTGGCATACAAAGAATTAATACGTTTTTAAAAGGTACTGATAAATTTCATTTTAATTGTTGATCCAAGTACTGCAATTTTGAAGCCAAACTTTGGCGCAAAATTTCGGTGGGTTATTAATAGGCACTCGAGTACAATAGCATTTCCTTAATTAAGTCGCTTTTAAGACAAGTATTATTTGTCATTTTTGTTAAAGTTTGAATTCGGTTCTATTTTTTAAAAATAGCTTTTATTTCGTGCAGTTTAGTATTTTTTTATAATAGGTAACAATGATATTCTTTATTCTAAGGTTAGACTAAAAAAAAATCTATATAAGTAAAAATATTCAACATAGTGAAAGTCTTAGAAAAGGAGATTTCGTTTATTTGCTCGACATAACTTTTTCCAAAATTATAATTTACGCTGGCGAAGTTGCGGGGAAACATAGAGTTTAATAGAAATTGATTAACAATTCAAGAAATAATGGATGGGCATACCTACTTTCATTAAAAAATATACATCAAAAAGTAAAGTATAGATACTCGTTGAACACAGAAATCCGGTTTTTGAGTGAATGCAAAATACGCAATCTTTTGTTTTTATGTTTAGTTGAAATAAATATATCATCTAAACAGAAACGCCAACCGCTTTTCAGCAGATATTTTATTTATTTAAGTGATATCTGGTGAAAAGCGTTTTTGTTTTGTTACAAAAGAAAAACGACTGATTCGATTACGATAAAATTGAAATGGGATCACCTCGGTCCATTAAGCTGTCGAATAAAAAAATAATTTTTAAAATAGATCAAGAAAAATCTTACAATCGCATTAAAATTAATCAATGTCTCACTTGTATTACTTAGTGCTTCCTTTAGCCTGACACTGTCCAGGTCACAGCAGAAGACAGAGACAGCGCTCACACGCTTGCAAGTCCCTTGCTCCTTGGGGCACTCGGACCGCGGCATATGGAAGCATTTGCCCATGTTCAGATATTCGTAGTGAGGCTCAGGACGCTGCGTTGATGCCGGCGGTTGCTGTGAAATAAAATACATGATATAACTCCATATTTTATAAAGATTGTTTTTTGTAAAAGTACATAAAGTGTCATTATATATTTATTGTTCGACATAATAATTTTTGGTTGCCCATCCCGTGATCGACCCTTGCGAAAGTTGCTTAATAAGAACGATTGCGGGCCGGCTCGCTTATCTACTACGCCGTCGAACTCCTTGTATAAAGTATACTGTACCAATAAAAATTAAAGGAGAAATAAATGAAAAAAATAAAGGAGAAATAAAAAGTAAAGAGAGCCCTTGTTTAAAGCCTAGGCTTTAAACAAGGGCTCTCTTTACTCTAAAACAACATAGTATTAATATTCTCATAACAAGTAATTATAATATTTTCATTAACTAAATATGGCATCGTTTTGAGATCAATCATATTATTGTTATAATCAGTTAAAAATCTTAATCTAACCAGATTCACAACTATGCAAAACGTAATGCAACTCGTCTCCAGTACAATCTACGTGTGCCTAGCCTTTGCATTCCAGGCATTGAACCGGCTTCAAATTCCTGCCGAATTCCTAAAAAAGCAAGATTTAGAGTAGACCCAGAGGGATTGTTCTCCGACCTGACCGCAGTGGACTGGACTCCTGTCTTAAATTGTAACAATGTCAATGAAGTCGTCAACTTGTTTTCAAATTTACTTAATGAAGCTATAGTAAAAAACTCACATACAATAACTGTTGGTCGATCTCGAAGAATTTTGAAGCCATGGATCACCCCTGGCTTAATACGTTGTCAAAAAACGCGCGACAAGTTACATATGCAGGCTAAAAAAAGTCCATCTGATCCGATAAAACAGACAGTTTATAAACGCTACCGAAACTTTTTAACTGAACTCCAACACAGAATAAAAAACAAATATTATGAAGATCAGATTATGACTCATAAAAAGAACTCCAAAAAACTATGGTCTACTGTTCGTGATGTTTGTAATATTCCCGCCGAATATAACGACGCGTCTCCTCTAACTAAAATCAGCTCTGATTCTGTGAAATCACTTAACGTGACAAATGAATTTTTCGCTGGTATTGGCAAAACTCTGGCAGATAAAACCCTCACTAAACTTAACGTATCAGAAACAGAGCTCGCCTCAAAAGTGAATGTTTCAATTTCCCCGTCAACGTCTTTTTATATGACTCCCACTGACATTCGTGAAGTAGACTCCATAATAATGGGCTTAAAGGACGAGAGTGCCGCCGGTCTCGACGGCTTTACTCCAATACTAATAAAAAAAATTCGTATTATCATTGTCGAACCTTTAGTCCATATATTTAACCTGAGTATAAGCACGGGTGAATTCCCCGAGCGCTGGAAACATGCGATAGTGACTCCCATCTACAAAGACGGTAATAAAGATGCTCCTTCTAACTATAGGCCAATTTCGCTGCTGTGTGTTTTTTCAAAAATCTTGGAAAAGATCATCAACAAACGTCTTGTGAATTATCTAGAGGTCAATGACTTCATCTCGAATAGACAATTTGGATTTAGACGTAAAATCTCCACAGAAGATGCCGCTTCTCTTGTAACAAATACTATCTCTGCCTCTCTGGATAATAAAAAATGCTCTGTCGGAGTCTTTATTGATCTAGCTAAAGCTTTTGATACAGTCTCATGCCCAATCCTTTTAAAAAAGTTGGAGTGCCTTGGCATCAGGGGAATCCCACTCAATTGGTTTAATAGTTATTTATCTGGCCGCTATCAGTCCGTTCGGATTGATAAAGTTCATAGTAATACGCTTAACGTAAATTTCGGAGTCCCTCAAGGTAGTATTCTCGGCCCAACACTATTCACAATCTATATTAATGACCTTCTTCACCTCCCTGTACCCGGCGCAGACATAATATGCTATGCGGACGATACAGTGGTTCTCTTTAAAGATTCTTCGTGGAATGATGTGATGAGGCTCGCAGAAAACGGCATGATCCCTATCGCCAAGTGGCTTGATCGTAACCTTCTGACTCTTAATACAAAAAAGACAAAGTTCATAGCATTCCATAAAACAAGAACTTCTTCACCTAAGAGCTTGCCTCCATTAATTTTACATAAATGCAATTTACTAAATGCTACTTGTAATCACAGTACATACAGGAGTGTCTGTGACTGTGAGTCGGTGGAAAGAGCCGACTGGGTCTCATATCTAGGCATACGTATCGACGAAAATCTCTCTTTTAACCGGCATATCTCCCATGTCTCGTCACGAGTAAGAAAAATGATTTATATTGTAAAATCTCTCAGGAGGTCAGCACCTCTTGATATACTTCATTTGGTTTATATCTCGTTATGTCAATCTCTTCTGATTTATTGCATAGGTGTATGGGGCTGTTCAAGTAAGACCAGCTTCATCGAACTGGAAAGAGCCCAACGTGCAGTATTAAAAGTCATGCTCAACAAACCTTACCGGTACCCTACGGACACACTTTATAAGGAAGCCAAAATACTCCGAGTCCGACAACTATACGTGTGGCGAGTTGTATGCGCCCAACATAAAAAGGTTATTAATTCCCCCGATTACTATACGTTGGCTAAAAAGCGTATATTTAAGGTCCCCCTGCCAAGTGTTCGCACCGCATTTGCCCAACGTTTCCCTTTTTTTTCCCACCCTTATATCTACAATAGGATAAACCGTAAAAGCCCGGTACATAGTTTCTGCTTGCGTAAAGCTAAATTAGTTACCAAAAACTGGTTGATGAGTCTGAACTATACAGAGACTGAACACCTCCTTCCATCAACTGGCTGACATGCTGCCCTTATTCTTCACATCACACTTTACACTACACAACTTACACACCTTTGTACACCCAAATGAACGATCGCATTTATTGTTTACCTTGCTAAATTGTTTAAGAATTAATAATAAACTATGATCTATAAATTTTCCTAATGATCTAATAATTCTTTGAGTTAAGTGTGCAATGATTATTTTGTTTTCTTCTGGTGTTCACCTTCGGTCACTACTGTTCAGGTCTGCGAGCCTAGTGTAGTGATCACTGCCTAGCTAAGTAATTGTACGCTGTTTGGAAAATAAATAATATTTGATTTGATTTGTCACAGTTCATCGACCCCCCCCCTCCCCTAAAATATGACGTAATTTATGGATGACAAGGGGTACCAACAGTATTATACTGAGGAGTATACGGTTGCTAAGCAACTTTCGCAAGGGCCGGTTATAGAATGGGTGACCAAAAAATTATTACCTTGAATTTGCTCGTCCTTTGGAAGGCACGTTAGACCGTTGGTCGAGACTCAATTTGCAATTGTTAACATTCGCCAACCAGCCCTGGGCTCGCGTGACAAGTCATGGTAGGCTGGTGATGGTGATGAATAATTATAATGAAAAATATGCTACAACTCACCTCCCTTCGTGCAGGTTGTTCAAATTCATCCACCCTCATTTCTATAGGAGCCAAGTGAAGAGACAAGTATACCACCAGCACCCATAGCACCGTCTGAAATTTATCAAAATCGAAATTCATCATAACATTCTCTAATAAATAATTCAGTACAAAAATGTTGTATTTCCTTTTAAAATTACAAGTTTTTTTTAAGATTTAATACGTTTTTATTGTTTTGACATTTTTTTATTTATGGTTTCCTAAAAGAAAATAAACAGATAACTAAAAAAAATTAGTCTATAAAATTCAAAGTGAATGAAATATGTTTACCCAAACTGACAATAAAATCGGATATAATTTATTCGGTCTTAATTATTACAAGTTAGTTAAACCAGAAATTAAATGCCGACATTCTTAAATTAAATAAAACTACTCAATTATTGAGATCATCAAGAAAATATGGCCATTTCACATTTTTAGCTGTATTCTGCCCTAGTTATAACTGATGACGTTAAACTTTCTTTCTAAATAGAAAATATATGGCCTCGGCGTTACACAAATAATACATACATAACATATGCTCAGTTATCATCAATTTTTTTTAGGACATTCATTAGAGTTTAAAGTCGTCTTTAAATCTCAATGGAAAGGTCAAGGCCTATCACGATTTAATATTTTTCAAATCATACTATTTATAATGTCAATAAAAAATCTATAAATATATTTCACTTATCGTTTATTGAAATAAAGAATAATATTAACATTTATATCGCGTATTTTAATCCTAATAAAGTCACTATTGTCAATTAGTTATAACATCCTATAATTATTATTATTAAGTAAAAACAATAAAAATACTTTGACCGTACCCATTAGTGCAGTTCTCGCATAAATGTAATTGCAATTGTATGTAAATCACAAGCAAGGGTGGGCTTATCTCTATAAGAGATCTCTTCCAGCCAACCAGGCGGTGTGGGAGATCAAGCAGTAACGGGAGACTGACAAGTGCATAATTGTTAAATTTGATGTGAATGAATATTAACATTAATACATATAGGCATGATATAAAAAAAAACAATAAAAAAAAGTAAGAATACATAAATAAACAATATTATATAATACATATAATATACATATATAAATAAAAATAATAATGATTACAAAAAACTATGAATACTAACATTGTGCTAGAAAGTGCTCCTTGAGTTTAGTTTTGAAAGATATGATAGAGGGGCAGTCTCGAATATCTAATGGGAGTTTGTTCCATAGTCTAACAGCCCGTACAGAAAAGGAGTTGAAGAGAAAATTGGTGTTACTTTTAGGCAGCTCCAAAGTTTTGGTAACACAGTACCGCCGGGGACGGGATGGGGGAGGAAGCTTCTGGAAACGGGAATTCAGGTATGCGGGTGAATTAGGATCTTTAAGAATTTTGAAAAGGAATGAAAGGATGTGCATATCACGGCGAAGACGGATAGGAAGCCAGTTAAGTTGAGCTCGAAAAGCTGAGACATGATCGTATTTACGCAGTCCAAAAATGAACCGAATTGCGAGGTTTTGAAGGCGCTCTAGCTTATTTAGTTGATCTTCATTCACATCCAAGTAGCAAATATCAGCGTAGTCAAGAATAGGAAGCAGGAGTGATTGCGCTAGCATAATTTTGGTTTTAAGGGGAAGAAAGTATTGAAGTCGTTTGAGAGAGCGGAAAGAATAGTGCATCCGTTTGCTAACGTCAGCCATTTGCGGGGACCATGAAAGAGAACTATCCATAGTCAATCCAAGATTTTTTACTTTGTCTGTGAATGGAATCGGTATACTGTTATATACGACTGGAGGTATACAAGTCCAGTTAAGTTTGCTGCGGAGTCTGCTACTGCCGACAATCATAGCCTGGCATTTATTTGGATTGACCATAAGACCAAATGAAACCGCCCATTTCTGAATAGAAGCAAGATCTCTATTTAAAGCATCAATGGTATCCAGAGCATCGTCGATAGAGAAGTGCCTATAGATTTGAAGGTCATCTGCGTAAAGATGAAAAGGAGAGGAAATAACGGTAGAGATATTATTAATAAAAATAGAGAAAAGTAAAGGTGAGAGAACACCACCTTGTGGTACACCGGCTGACAAATTTAGCCAGTCAGAAGAAGAAGAATTGAAAACTACGCACTGAGAGCGTTCAAAAAGATATGATCGGAACCAATCAATAGCAGAGGCGGAAATGTTAAGCGAGCGGAGAGTACTAAGCAAAATGTCAAAGTCAACACAATTGAAGGCACTGCTAAAATCCAGTAGAACCAAGGCTGTAAGTTTCGTATTATCCATAGCATGGCGAATATCTTCAGTTATGTTCAACAGTGCACCAACTGTGCCGTGAGCAGGACGGAAACCAGATTGGTAAGGACACAAAAGAGAGTTAGATAAGAGAAAAGAGTAAAGTTGTTGGTGAGTGACAGATTCAAGTACCTTAGAGAGAATAGGGAGAATAGAAATAGGACGATATTGACTGAGTGAAGAAGGATTGTGAGTTTTAGGAAGAGGTATGACATGAGCCCTTTTCCAAGATGCAGGAAAGACATTGTTTTCCAAAGAGAAATTTATAATGTGAGTAATTATTGGAACAATGTCCTCCAGAACAGGAAGTAACATGTCAAGACTTATGCCATCACTTCCAATCGCCCTCGTGGAGATGGATTTAATACATTTTGTAATATCTTCCTCAGAGACTACGCTGAAGGAAAAGGGGGGACAGTCAGGTGAGTTATTAAGACGTGATAAAAAGGAAAGAGTGTCAGACTTAGTTGCCATGTCTAAAGTAAGAGAAGGTGAGGAGAAATGCCTATTGAGAACATTCAGATCCACGATGCTCTGGCTAGCCTCTTCCGACTTACCCACACCTAGCGATTTTAAAAAACCCCACAAATGCTTTTGATTTAAACTTTCTATTTGGCTGTGAATATATTTACGTTTAGCATCTCTACACATTCTGTTGCAAACATTGCGCCATTTTTTATAAATTCGTAAATTTTCAGGAGAAGGGGCTCTTTTCTGTTTACTTTTGGCCCTATCTCGTTTCGCCATAATTTTTCGGATATCTGACGTTAACCAGGGGGCAGGTACATGTTTCACACGAACTGGACGAACCGGAGCGTGCACGTCATAAATGTCAACAAGAGCAGAAGTGAAGTAGTCTACCATATCATCCACATTACTACCACGCAACAGCGGTGACCAGTCCTTATTTCTTACATCATCTCTCAAACGTTCAAGAACCATTTGCTTAAAGTTGCGCAGAAGTCGTATCCGTGGTTTAATTTTGGGAGGGCGCACTTTTTTTTTATTTTTTAGCATTTGAATTTCTTTTGCTTATTTCAGTTCTGTAGTTTGGCAGTACCAGTTTGTCCGGGAATCTCGTAATGAAATATTTTAATATTTAAACTCCTCTGCTTAAAGCATATCTGTCATACTGTATGTAACTTAAATCCTATTTTAATTTTAAACGATGAAAGTAGATAATGAGTGAATTTGAATTGATGATTGTTTAAACTGTCAATAAAACAAATAAGTCTTCGGAAAAAAATTGTTTCACCCACGGGAAGCTACGTCATACGCAAGTGACATGGGGTGTAATTTACGCGGGCGAAATTGCGGTAAAGTTGTGAAAAAAATCCGCTGTTGCGTATATAGCGTAAAAATTCAAACACACAAACGCACACAACTTTATTTTATTATTATGCAATGATATATCGAGATGCCGGAGACCACCGGCATGGGTTAGCGACTGGTATTAATAGAACAGCTCCAACTATAAACAGGTGTTGGAAACACATCGTTTTTACTGACGTTATAAATGTAACTCTATGCCCTCGGACTGTGCCGTTTCGATCCCTTTGCCCAAACCCTGCTGTGATTTTTATGACCACAGAGTCGGTTTTTAGGATCAAATGGTACAATACAATTCTCTTTGGGAATAACCCTTGAGAACATTGAATTGCTTTGTTTAAGTAGAAAATCTTTCTTGTAAAATGCATTGTGCTTGTCAAATAACCTCTTGAATCTGAACCCGATGAAGTTCTAAATCACTTGGTTTAGAACTTCAGTCTGAATGTTTTAAGATTTAAAATCAAGTGCAGAAATTTCACAATTTTTTTATACTTGAATTCATTATAGTTATTGAATGACTGTATATTGGAAAAAAAACGTTATTGTAAATTAGTGACTTTCTAAAAAAAACAGAAGCCAAACATTAACCTTAAAAAATATTTTTTTCAAAATAAAACCTTTCAAATGTCCTTGTTAGGGTTCCGTAGTAAGTATTCCTTTTTATAATTTCGCCATGTCCGTCTGTCCGTCCGCGGATAGCTCAAAAACTATCGGTACTAGAAGGTTATAATTTGGCATATATATACACGTTAATTACATCGACAAAATGGTAAACTAACATTTATAAAAAAGCTCTTAGGGTACCTCTCCTACATGTAAAGTGGGGATTGCTTTTTTTTCATCTTTCCCAAAACTTGGGAAATTATTGGATAGGTCTTCCAACATTGGAGATGTGGGAAGGCCACACACGGTTAGTAAACCGTTTGTGTCTTATTAAGCATTAAAGAGCTAATTTTCGTTAGAGTGAAGTGCCTCCACCAAGTAAACGGTAGTTTGTAAAAATTCCAAATATTACCTACATATAACTAACTTAAAAACATTTTGTAAAAATAACACTACACTTAGAAGTTTAAATGTGTGAACCACCCTATTATTTATGAACACCCTTATATTTACTTATCCCCGCTAATTCGTATGCAGCACGAATTAGGAGGGTTATAAAATAATTTGCTGATACTCATTGAGATCTAAAACAGCATATTTTTGCTGATAGTGAAGCTTCATGCCAGAGAAAAGTATTTCAATAAAATTCAGCACAGTATCTATAATCAGATTATCTTTTGTAACAAATTCAAATTCAATGTTTGACTCTGTTCCATCTAATTTTACCGTTTATATGTATATAATAAGTGTTTATTTGTAGACCACATCGGTTAGCAGAGCAGACACTGGACCGGACTTCACTCAATTAGACCAATATTCCACTTCCTTACGAGTCACGAGGTCATGTCTTGGC